GAGCCTCTGAAAAAGTTTCAGTGGAACCGCACTCTTGCCCTCGAACTGTCTCAGGCAAGTCAGCAGTGACTGCGCGCGCTCGCTCGTAAGCTGCGCGGACATGGCGACCGAGTCGATCTCCATACCGAGAAAAGAGATCCTCTGCGCGGGGCAAAGTTTGCTCTTCTCCCAGTTGACCCGAAGGCCCAAACGGGCTACATGGCGGAGTACCAAATCCCTGTGTTCGCAAAGCTGATCTCGAGAGTGAGCTAGAATCAGCCAGTCGTCGAGATAGTTCAGAATGCGAACCCCGTGTTCCCGGAGGGGAACAAGGGCTGCCTCGACGACCTTCGTGAAGACGCGAGGAGACAGGGCTAGCCCGAATGGGAGAACTGCGTACTGATATGCCTGTCCCTCGAAAGCAAACCGTAGGAACGGTCTGTGTCGAGGGAGAATGGAGACATGAAAGTAGGCGTCCTTCAGGTCGATCGCTGCAAACCAATCCTGGTGCCGCACACATTCGAAAACGCGTTTGGCGGTGAGCATCTTGAACGGCAGCCTGTGAAGGGAGCGGTTCAATACGCGCAGGTCCAGGATTGGCCGTAACCCACCGGTTTTCTTCGGGACAATGAAGTAGGGGCTGTAAAACCCGGACCTCATTTCGGCTGGAGGGACAGTCTCGATCGCACCCTTCGCCAGCAGGGTAGCAACCTCCGCTCTCATGATAGGGGCATTGCCACCGACCATAGTGGAGCGGACTCCCCTGAAGCGGGGAGGAGACCGCGCGAACTGAATCGCGTAGCCGAGCCTGATCGTTCGTGCGACCCAGCGGGACAGGTTGGGAAGCTCTAGCCAAGCTCCCAAGGACTGAACCAGCGGGGTCATGCGAACCACAGACTTCCCGTCGGTGGGGCAGCGAGGCGGTATGACTGACCCAGACGTGGACGGCATAGCGGCCCGGTGTGGGGGTACAGTCATAGACCGCGTCCTGACAGAGCAGACCAGGGAAGGACGAACGTTCCACGGGGGTCTGCTCTGCCAGGGGTCTGGCGACAGAGGAGGATGAGAGCGGCACGGTCCGGGGACGGCGCGCACTGTCATCCGGCTCTGGGACAGAGGAGGACGAGGGGTGCACGGCCCGGGGGCGGCGCACCGTGTCGTCCAAGAACTCTGTGTGCTCAGGGATGAACGTGTTATTTCTTTCTTTAACCACATTAGGGTACTGCCCACCCGTGGGTGAGCAGCGGGGAGTGGAGAACAAAAGATTCTCCCCCGGCCCTCCACCGGGGGAAGGAGTGGTCCTGCAACCATCTCCTGAGAAAAACACGTCATCCCTGAGCAGCCCGTCTCAGGAGCGCCGCTTGGCCCGGCGTTTAGCGGGGGGCGGGGCTGGAGAGGGCTGGGGCGCCTTCTTGCGACTTCCTCCGCGACCGGGCCCGGGTGGAGGCTGCTGCTTGGGCCGGGCGGGAGGGGCGGGAGTCGCAGGAGGGCGCCCTCGGCGGCGAACAGACTGAGTATTCTGCCCGGTCGGCTGGGTGGAGGCAGCAGCGGGCCGTCGGGGCAGAATGTGCTTGATCGCCTCAGTCTGTTTCTGAGCAGTCGAGAACTGTTGGGCAAAGTCCTCGACTGCACCGCCGAAAAGGCCATCTTGCGATATGGGGGTGTCGAGCAGCCGGGACCGCTCGGCATCCTTCATATCGGCAAGATTGAGCCATAGATGTCTCTCCTGGACCACGGCTGTGGACATCACCAAACCCAGGGAGCGTGCGGTCACCTTCGTCGCTCGGAGAGCAAGGTCGGTGGCGGCGCGCAGCTCATTGAAGAGCCCTGGGTCTGTCCTACCCTCGTGCATGTCCCTGAGCATCTGGGCCTGGTAGACCTGCAGAATGGCCATGGCATGCAAAGAGGTGGCTGCCTGTCCCGCAGCTCTGTAGGACTTCGCCACTAACGTAGACGAGTACCTACAGGCTTTGGATGGGTGCTTTGGCTCACCACGAGACGAAGCGCTCTGAGGACACAGTTGCATCGCAACAGAGCGTTCGACCGGGGGAAGCCCAGTGTACCCACGGGCAGCGGCCTCATCGAGGGGAGGAAAGGCGGATGAAATCATCGAGCGGTCGCGGGAAGACATGGGAGTCTTCCAGGACTTCGAGATTTCATCATGCACGTCCGGGAAGAAAGGTATCGGGGCCTGACGGGGACGGGGATCCGCAGCCTGACCCAAATACCAATCATCCAGCCGCGAGCGCTCGGGGCAGGGCGGAGGGTTCCACTCTAACCCGATGCTCGCGGCGGCTCGAGACAGCATGGCCGTCATCTCTGGATCTGACTCTGGCACAACTGTAGTCATACCCGAAGGCGGCAGCTGTGATGAGTCTTCACTTCCAGCAGACTCAGACCCACCTTGTGATGCTGCAATAGACATGGCATCTTCCTCTGGAGCGCCAAAGGAAACCCGCGGGACACCCGAAGATGATCTCGCCGGAATCCCCTGAACACTCACGGGTTGCAGCATTGGAGAGGGTGCGGCTGGGCACGGACTGATAGTCGGCGCTTGGTTCCAAACCGTCACCCTCAGATCACCCTGGCCACCAGCCGAAGTACTAGCTCTATTTCTAGAGTCAGTAGATCGGGGTGTGGATGAGGGGACCCTCACTCTTGCGAGATCACCGAGTCTTGACCGTAATGCTGCGATGGTCATGTTCCCACAGAGAGAACATGAGTCATCCACGAGTGCTGCTCTAGCGTGATCAATGCCCAAACACACTATGCAGCACCCGTGCCCATCAGAGTCGTCAACCAGCCTACCGCAACCAGAAGTGCACGGGCGAGGCATCTTTAAAAAGACGTGCCACGTGCAAGCTCTTTTGTGAGAAAAAGAAACCTGATTGTGTTGAAGCGCTCGGGGAGAAACACACTCGCTGTCGAACCACAGACAGATAAGCAGGAAGTGCGCGCTCGCCGAAGATCGCCGTCACACCAACACCAGAGAATCTTGCTCGTTTGAAGAACTGACAATTTCAGGAATGGCTTGTGGAACGAAGGATTAACTTGGCTCCAAAGCGAAAACATGCCGGTTTGCTGCCAGCGTTCTCCTTATATACTCACGAGGTGAGGCGGAGTTACGCTATGCAAATTCCGCAGACCCATGGCATTTCTTTGCCATTGGCTCGTTTTGAAGTATTTGAAGTTGATTGGCTTCTAAGCGAAACCCCCATTCGTCGTCATCCGACGGAACTCGGAGTGACAACGAAAGGGAAACACAGTTTTATTGAATCATATGTCATCAATAGCAGTTCACTTCCGAGATTTAGAACAATTTAACAGCAAACCGTACAGGAATTCACATGAACCTTACCCCTGACCACCCTTTTTAGGCGGACTCAGGTGCGCACTGAGCTCGGAAAACAGTGTTCACATCATCCAACTCTGACATCAATTGAACCCCAGTGCGCACCAAAAGTGCTAGTGTGTATGCACCCTAATTTGTTTAGGTTTTTCTTGTTTGTCTGGCTGGTAGTTTTTTGTGCGTGTTTAGGGATTGCTGTTGATTACTGATCCTAGAGTGCATGAATGTGGGGATCTGAGATGGTGGGGATGGGTGGGGGGGAGGGCGTATGTGAGGGCGTATGCTCTTGTGACCCACCAGGATTTGACTGTTAAAAGAGCCATGCCTGCATCCGAATAGAAGCAGGCAGCAGGTAGATCTATTTTAGTGTGCTTAGTGGTATATATCTGGGTTCCTGGCACTCCTTTACTATCACAATCACTTTGGAAGTACTTTTGTTTTCAGTATGTATGCACATGGCACAGTTTTACATGTACATTGGGCTGGATTTGCATTTAGATTTTTTGTATTTCTTTACTCAAGAGGTAAGCTGTTAGGATCTTATTATACAAATTTAGGTCACATTTATATGTTTTCCCTACCTGTAGAAGTAATAAATCAGGATTGAAAGCTTCATGTTAAAGCATCCCATTGTGCAATGCAAACTATGAATGTCAGTAGCCCCTTTAAAGCCGGCCAACGCTCAGAAACGGGCTGACAGCTGACCGTCGGCTTGGTGTGTCCCAGGCTGAAGAGTCTGTATGCAGGACTAGTATGTCATATCTACATTGCTAGTCCTGACCTCAGGTGTGGGGATGAGTCGTAAACCAGAAACATTTGTCATGAGTCAGACTGTCTTTCATAGGGCAAACAAAATAATGCTGACACAATTTAAGGTGTGGAAATGCCAGGAGAGGGTTTTTGTTAAATGAACACAATAGTCTGCTGTCTGCCAAAAATATTTTGACATTTCAACACTATTGGATATTTGAATACTTGACTCATATATCAGACTTTACTTTTTTTCTTTTTTGTTAGGAAGAGTTTAGCACTTTCATTGGTGAATGACTTTAATGTTTTCCTCTCTTCAGGAAGCTGTATAGTTTCATGTATCAGTCCCTCACGAATTACCAAAGAAAAACATAGTGAACATTCTTTCGTCGTAATGTTTCCTGGAGGTGTGTCTGTTGTGTCTTTCACAGGTCGGCTCATCAATCATCACATTTTGCGTGACTTTCGTTCTGGGTAGTTAAGAATAAATTTCACGTGTAATTGATTCCATTCCAACAGACACTTTTTTATGTGGAATTTTGCTCTACCATTCAAAAGCTAGTGGTTAGTAAGAAATTCAAGTTTAATTCTGAATGAAATAAATACTTTTATTCAGCAAAGATGCATTTAAATTGATCAACAAGTGAGGGAAAAAAAGACATTTATAAGGTTACAAAAGATTTATATTTCAACTAAATTCTGGTCTTTTGTACTTTCTATTTATCAGAATAATCCTGAAATGTATCATGGTTTCCACAAAAATAGTAAACATAAAATATGAAAATTAACAATATTACAGTTTTTACTGTATTTTTGATCAAATAATTTCCTTTGGTGGCTTCAGTGTGTTGAATCAGTTATTATCAGCTTGGAATGGTTTGATATCTAATATCTTTTTTATATATATATATTTTTTATTTAGCTCAGTTCGCCCATGAATGCAGTCAGTAGTTCGGAGGACATTAAACCCCCTCTGGGTCTGAACGGGATGATGAAGGTCCCGGCACAGCCCACAGGCACATCCCTCTCCCTCACAAAACACATCTGTGCCATTTGCGGAGACCGTTCATCAGGTGACACACACACACACACACCTAGATGATTTAAAAAAAATGTGTTCATGCACTGTGTAATTTGTCTCTGTTAGAATAGAACAAAATAGCTAAAAGTATAGAAAATTGTTGTGTGATTTCACGGCTACTTACCGAAATAATAAATAATGCACCTAAAAAAAATGTTTTATTGAAAATAGTACTTGTTTTATTTTGTAAGACAAAAGAGCCCACAGACTGACATGAGAGACTGGCATGTCTAGTTGCAATAATATCATATAGCCTACAGTTCAATAGTCATTATCCACATTTTTCCTAGGTCCCATAACGCTTTGTGCGAATTATGGGATTAACTTCCATTAATCTGTAAACAATCAGTGAAAGGTTCGCTCTATGAACGCAAAAATAAGCATTTTCAAAATCTGGTTACAATAAGAGGACATTATTCTATTCACCCTTCAATCATCGGACATTAAAAGGACATTTAAAAGTGTAAAATCATTAACAAATTACTACCACAGACTATGAATAACCCCGATTATTTCCGTAGTTATATTACGGACGTGTTAAATATCTCTGTAGTTATATACACTCACCGGCCACTTTATTAGGTACACCTGTCCAACTGCTCGTTAACACTTAATTTCTAAGCAGCCAATCACATGGCGGCAACTCAGTGCATTTAGGCATGTAAACATGGTCAAGACAATCTCCTGCAGTTCAAACCGAGCATCAGTATGGGGAAGAAAGTTGATTTGAGTGACTTTGAACGTGGCATGATTGTTGGTGCCAGAAGGGCTGGTCTGAGTATTTCAGAAACTGCTAATCTACTGGGATTTTCACGCACAACCATCTCTAGGGTTTACAGAGAATGGTCCGAAAAAGAAAAAAACATCCAGTGAGCGGCAGTTCTGTGGGCGGAAATTCCTTGTTGATGCCAGAGGTCAGAGGAGAATGGCCAGACTGGTTCGAGCTGATAGAAGGGCAACAGTGACTGAAATAACCACTCGTTACAACCGAGGTATGCAGCAAAGCATTTGTGAAGCCACAACACGCACAACCTTGAGGCGGATGGGCTACAACAGCAGAAGACTCCACCGGGTACCACTCATCTCCACTACTAATAGGAAAAAGAGGCTACAATTTGCAAGAGCTCACCAAAATTGAACAGTTGAAGACTGGAAAAATGTTGCCTGGTCTGATGAGTCTCGATTTCTGTTGAGACATTCAGATGTTATGACGTAAACAGAATGAGAACATGGAACCATCATGCCTTGTTACCACTGTGCAGGCTGGTGGTGGTGGTGTAATGGGGTGGGGGATGTTTTCCTGGCACACTTTAGGCCCCTTAGTGCCAATTGGGCATCGTTTAAATGCCACGGCCTACCTGAGCATTGTTTCTGACCATGTCCATCCCTTTATGGCCACCATGTACCCATCCTCTGATGGCTACTTCCACCATGTCACAAAGCTCTAATCATTTCAAATTGGTTTCTTGAACATGACAATGAGTTCACTGTACTAAAATGGCCTCCACAGTCACCAGATCTCAACCCAATAGAGCATCTTTGGGATGTGGTGGAACGGGAGATTCGCATCATGGATGTGCAGCCGACAAATCTGCGGCAACTGTGTGATGCCATCATGTCAATATGGACCAAACTCCCTGAGGAATGCTTCCAGCACCTTGTTGAATCTATGCCACGAAGAATTGAGGCAGTTCTGAAGGCAAAAGGGGGTCCAACCCGTTACTAGCATGGGGTACCTAATAAAGTGGCCGGTGAGTGTATAAAATATTCCAGCATTCCAGTGAATTATTAATGGAATATATCGTCAATTAATTTGGGAGAACAGGCCACAAATCCACAGTATATGTTGTCATTTTTCATACTGTTACAGTAGAACACAATATAAAAAAGAAGACAATCAGGAGGAAAAGAATGCAGTGGCTGAAAAGAGCTGTTTAATAATATGCTTTATTGTACTTGTTAAACTGCAGTCATAATATTGGTCACTCTATATATTCTGTCTTTCAGAGTAATGTGTGACAAAACAGATGTGGCTGTTGAATTATTGAAATCAAATGCCAATTAAAGATAACCCTGCTGGGAAGAATACTAAAGCATATGTCTGCCGGCAGGTAAACACTACGGGGTGTACAGCTGTGAGGGATGTAAGGGCTTCTTCAAGAGAACGGTGAGAAAGGATTTGACGTACACTTGCCGAGACAACAAGGACTGTTTAATCGACAAACGGCAACGCAACCGCTGCCAGTACTGCCGCTATCAGAAGTGCTTAGCCATGGGAATGAAGAGAGAAGGTGCGTTGCTTTTTTCTTTGAACACATGCCAATTCTGAATCATATCAGAATTTAGTCATATTCTGACTATGGATGGGACATATACTCATTAAAGGAGGAATGGTTCACCCAAAAATGTTAATTATCCCATATTTTACTCACCCTCAAGCCATCCTAGGTGTATATGACTTTCTTCTTTCAGCCGAACACAGTCGGGGTTCTATATTATGGGATAATTTTCATTTTTGGGTGAACTATCCCTTTAACCTGGTCAAACAGACCAAATATTCCAGCTTCTTGAAACCACCTTATTCTGAAAATCTAATGTTCCATTTTTTATGTCCAAATGAGACATGAGAGACAGTAAGTTTTGAAAAGTCAAACTATCAATGGAACACATTTTTGGAGGAGATCTTTTTACAGACTTTAAGATAAATAAACAATCAACACATGGTGGTTGAAAGCACTAATGACCAACAATTTGCAGTTCATTGCACTGCTGTATGCTGTTGTCAAGGAATTGAATGAGATTCATTAATGTGTTGATTAAATTATGCATTTTAAGTCTAAAATCATCTAAAAGGAATTGAATTAAATGGCTAGAGATTGTATTCCCAGCATTTCCACTAGAGAATAGTAGGAATAGAATGTAGGCTTACATGTAATTTATTCAAAGTGTATTCAGAATGTTACATGTATGAGAACATTCCAATAGTTGAGAAGCATGCTATTTATTTATTAATCCATTTATTTTTCATATATATATATATATTAAAGTTGGGGTCCTCATCAAGGATATGTGTATGAAAATAGTAATAATAATTGTCAAATTAATGATTTTAAAATGAACCTCTTATTGTTCCTTCAAACTCTTTTTTTTTTTTTACATGTTTTTCTGACCTAGTTAAAGGCCAGTAGCCAGATATAATTGAAGCTTTATCCTTTTTGTTTTACCACAAAGCAGGGGTGCACTTTTCAGAAATATGACTAATATGCATTCTAGTAACATTCCTTCTGTCCAGGACGCTACCAACATCACACTGAAAAGTACAGTAAACAACACGCAGTGTATCATTACAGTGTGAAACAAAGTAAAGTTTAGCATGTGAAAACTGATTGAATTTATCCATTGCTTTATATCAGACATAAGTTGCATTGTGACATTTTTTTAATGGAAGAAAGTTGAAGTGTGTTAGCAAGTTCGTCATGTTGTGCTATCAATTTTGTTTATAATCTGTTCTCAAAAGAGTAGAAAAAGTCATGAAGAATAAACCTGATACTAAACCGTTAGGTAATGGTCTTGAACGTGAGGCCTGGACCCCCTATACTGAGGCCTCTGAGAGAGAGGTAACCTGACACACTTCTCCCCCACAAGCCACTCTCTCTGTCTTTCTGTTTCTGAGGACAATAAAGCTAAAATAATTCCTTGTGCCTCTCTCCTCACCTCTCAGTGACTCCTGGAGAAAAGCTTTATCCTTCAGCTGACCTCCACGGCTCTCTGCTGCTCCTACTCAAGAATTCCCCTCATGATCTGCTAGCGGTTTCTGTCGGAGAGAGAGAGAGAGAGAGTCATAAAACAGGGCTTTTACAGACAGAAGGGAAAGCTGAAATGTTCCACAGCCTGATGGCGAGGCAGACGGGGCTCATTTCCACCAGGTCCAGACCACAGTAGACCGACTGTGTGGTTTAGACCTGGCTCCCCCTCTAAACCAGGCCAAACAAACGTGTGCGCTGTGTACACAACACGCAGATGCTCGCCCAAATGTGGCACACACACACCAATACATTGTCAACCTGCATAACTAATCGTTTGACCGAAAGTTTTAGAAGGACGGTTTTATGGCCCATGACTTTGTCCATAGACTGAATAGGAGCACAGAATCATGTTTGCACTGGATCGTACCCAAATAAAATATACATATTTTAAAAAGTAGAATGTGTATGACTAATAACGTCACTCCATACGTAGAATGACCTCCTCAACTTTTAGCCTCTGAAGTTGATGAATAATGGGCTGGATGCATTTGCAGCTCGATGAAAAACGGCCTGAGCTGTTTTTGTGGAAATGTGTAGATTACGAGCAAACCAAAAGCAGCTGCGTGTTATTGTGCGCAAGGTCACGGTTTTGTTTGTGTGTGTAACCGTACATGTCGCACATGCAAGCCGTTCTAATTTTGTATGTGCACATGTGCAGCCGTTCAGGAGGAGCGGCAGCGGGCGAAGGAGCGGAGCGAGGCTGAATTCGGCAGCTGTGCCAACGAGGACATGCCCGTGGAGAAGATTCTGGATGCCGAACTGGCAGTGGAACCAAAGACGGAGACCTACGTGGAGGCCAACCTGAGTCCGCCTGCCAACTCTGTAAGCCAATCTCTCCCTCTAAATCACACTCAGTGACATTCAACTTATGGAGAACATTTGGCTCGTCTGAAATGTGCCATTTCAGAGTTACACTTCACAATTGCTCCTCAGTGAACCGGCCGGGCTCGATCATTTTCTGAATGTCAAGACTAAAGAAAGGTTCCAGCCTGCCTGCAGATACGAAAAGACAGTTTTAAGAGTTTTGCAGATGTCCAAGAAAGAGTCAGATGCAGATGCATTTCTGTTTGTGAATCAGAAGGGCTATTTTTACGATCCCACTCCCAGAGGATGGATTCGGCTACATAGCAATGGTCTTTGGCTTTGAAGGCTTCTGCAAAGACCCCTCGAGAGGGGACATACTGCAGAAGAAGCACATTGTCATGTCACTAGATAAGAGCTTCAGCCATTAACCATGTCAGTTTGACACACCGAGGCTAGCGCTGTGTATATTTATGCCTTGTGCGCATTTGTCCTCTGTTTTGTGCAGCTGTAAGCTCTAAATCAGGTAGAGGTCAGGCAAAAAGAGGCATATGCTTTGTCTTCCCTACTTTGTATTTTCAGATTGTTTGTTTCCCCCACAGTCGTTTTTTCTTTTTTTTTTAATGGCTGTTTGTGTGTTCGTCCTTGAGCCTTGGGGAAGGTCCTCTCACATGAATAGGGCTCTAATGAATTTGGGTTCCTCTTGGGTTGATTGGAAAACTGTTAAGACGTAATGATCGTAAATGAAAGCAGCATAGGATATGAGACTTTTAAGCAAGATGTAGATCTTATTGTTATGATATTTGAGTATGGTGGTGATATGAACTGATGAGCAATCATGAATACACTTATGAAAAAGAAGTGAGCCTTATTGTACGGGATGTGCACTTGTAGTGTACTTCAAATCTTAAAAGTATATTTAAAAAAAAGAAACTGTACTTGCAGATATAATATTAATTAAATAAAAGACCACTTAGGTGTACTTAAGTGAGAGTGCACTTTCACAATTTTCATAATTTTAAAAAGAGAACAGTAATATTATATTTTTTATAAATGTACATTGTCATGCTTTAAAGAAGTGCATTTATTTTGATGACTAACATACTAAAGCACATGTAAAGTACTTGATTACAATTTTAACCGTAGTGTGTTATTCAATATTAAGTTTAAAGTTAACATTTTAAATGTACTACATTGCAACCTAATTATTACAAATGTGTACTTAGAAATCTATTTAAATACATGACAAAAGTCTCAAAAGAAATTACATTTTAGTTTACCTTAAAGGTATAGTTCACCTACAAATAAAAATTCCGTCATCATTTGCTCACCAACAAGTTGCTCCAAATGGTAGCCGTTGACTTCCATAATAGGGAAAAAAATTCTATGGAAGTCAATGGCTACCATCAACTGTTTGGCTATCCACATTCTTCAAAATCTTATTCTGTGTTCAGCTGAAAAATTCATCCAAGTTTGGAACTTACTTGGGTGAACTATCCATTTCAATGCATGTCAGTACACTTGGCAGTATAACCATATTTCAAATGCAATAAATGAATAATAATAAAAAAAATAACATATAAAGATATACTAAAGTCCAAACTCTTTAAAGTTTTAGCTATTGCAAATATAGATTTATATTATAATACATTTTCATTTAATTGCAGTTAACAAGCAGTTAAGTGTCTAAAACATACATTAGTTTCAAACAAGTATATTATTTTCAGTACTCTTTGTAAAAATGAGTATTTCTTTTTCACAAGGGTATGTTACCACTAAAATGGAAGAGCGTTTCGCTCTGGGTAGATGATGATGATGCTTCAGTGATAATGTGATTTTGTGATCCTATAGGGACAGAATTTGCTCCATGACAACAGCAGAACATGCACAGAGTGCTCTGACATGCCAGGCTGTTGGTTCACGAGTACTTATTCTGATTGATTCTGGGCTGAAGAGCTTGGGTTATTCAAGCAGAAGGAAAGGCTTTTAGAGAGCAAAAGTTAAACAGGGAATAAAAATATTCCATCTGGGAAAATGATAGGAATGATTTCCACAAGACTTCCCACAAGATATCTGCTCATTTTCCACTCACATCACCGAGTTTGACAGTTGAGTTTCTCTGGCTGATATCTTTGCAGAATGCAGATGAGGCAAGTAACATGTCACACAGTGAAGTCAATACCACTCGAAAGCTATTTCAGAGTTTGCAAAAACATTTTGTCCTTATTCCTGCATTGTTTATTGCATTCTCGTTAAAAGTCTGATATGTCCAAAAGCACATTTGTGTACACTATACACTATACCGTTCAAAAGTTTGGGGTCTTTAAAAAAAAAAAAATGGGGTTGGGGGGGGGGGGTCTGGGGTGAAAAAGATTCGACACTCTTGATGCTTCGAATCTTTTCCCGGAACAATCAGGGGAAAGCCTCAGTGCTCGAGGCTTCATTTGCCCATCCCTACTTGGCAGAACAAGATTTGGTAGCAGGACACAACATGGCTTCAGGGATCAAGACACAAGGAATGAAAGACAACAAACTGGCACAGGACTGAAAACACAAGGAGAATAAATAGGAAGCAAACAAGGCAGGTAACGGACAGGTGCGCTCGAAACCGCACGTCCACACAAATGCCCAGTCCAAATACCCACACTTGTGGTCTTTGCACTTGACCACTTGTCTACTTGCATGACGTATTTCCTCTATTTGGCCCAAGTGTTCAAGTAGGCGTTAAAGACTACAAGTGTGTGTAGAACTTTTGATTACTTGATGGAACACACTTATAGTCTTAAAAAAAAATGCAAGTGGGGTGGTGATGGCGCAGTGGATAAGACACATGCCTTTGGTGTGAGAGACCCGGGTTTGAATCCACTGTGAGACACCAATGTGTCCCTGAGCAAGACACTTAACCCCTAATTGCTCCAGAGGCGTGCAACCTCTGAAATATAGCAATTGTAAGTTGCTTTGGATTAGATTTGTAACTAACAGAAGACACAAATTTAAAATTGTGGTGCCTTCTAATTAAGTGATAAAAACAAGTTGCAAATGCCTACACATACTCATCTTTGCACCAATAAAAATGTGCAACACTTTATGTTTTATACTACCAAATTATAGGTATCTAATTAATTTAACTTACAGTGGAATGTTTTCCTCGACATCTTGCGATTTCGGGGCACATGAGTTCCCGTACATAATGCATGATGGGATACGCTTGGCCTCGAATAACGCACCGATGCGGTATTCAAGATAGTGTGGGTTTAGTGTGCATTAAGGGCACTGAGCTTTGGCATTTTTAAGACATGGGACAGTCTTGTGCACTTACTTCCTGTCGCGTGCACGCGCTCTCAAGTGGCCAAGACCGGTGTGGGTATTTGGACAAGGCAAATGACAAGACAATACAGCAGCATCAGGGCTGTCACAAAACCAAGAATAAACTAGACAGAAGTGACAGAACCCTGACTCACCAAGACTGCATTTACTTGATCAAAAACAGTAAAATAGTAATATTGTGAAATATTAATATAATTTAAAGGTGCAGTATGTAAGATTGACAGCTAGTGGTTGAAATGGGTTCTGTAATACAAATTCTGAATATTGGAGAGAGTTTTTCCCTCGCCCCCTACTGCTCAGACTCGACTCTCACGGGTTGCCAGATTGAGGACACGCAACAGGAACGAGCGCAGTAGACAGTGGAATGTGAGGAGATATACACACTGTAAATTGATGAGTTGATTTATTGATTTATGATGTTGATATCGCGTTTTAATATGCTCCCAGTCATAGAGATTTTTAGATGGGTGCTGAGGCTTTTTAGGTCAGGTAGAATCTGCGATCTCTGACCCAGTTTGTTCGCTGGCTTCCATGGCTGCAATACACTGTTTTTCACCATCTGGTAAACTGTGGTGGCGGAATACTATTGGGCGAATTGGCAACATGCGATATCGCACAGACCAATTTTTTTTTTTTTTTATGCTTTAGTACAGTCAAAAACTTACAATCAACACCTTTAAAATAACTGTTTACCTTTTGAATATATTTTTAAAATGTAGTTTATTCCTGTGATGGCAAAGCTGAATTTTCAGCATCATTACTCCAGCCCTCAGCATCACAAATCATTCTAATATGCTGTAGTATATAAAGTATAAAGTGCTTTGATAATATGTTAACCCATACAATATCTTCCACATCCTCACACAGTGGAAAATTGTATCTCAAAAGTTGCTCTTTTAAATCCCAGTATCACGCGGTGTGCTTCAGAAAAGATGGAGAGTTGGAGCCAGTTGCAACAACAACATTTGTTTATTAATAAAATAACATAAGTAAATCCAGAGTAAATGCAAAACAATCAATAGCTGGGTTTCAGTCACGTGATTATGATGACGCGGTCAATTTCTTGCAATTCCGGGGGGGAATCGATTTAAATCGATCAAACCACGAGGAGTTTTTATCGTGTACCAAAAGTTGTTGTTCATAAGGGGGTTATGAACAACAACTTTTGGTACACGATAAAAACTCCTCGTGGTTTGATCGATTTAAGTAACCATAAACGACGCAAAACAGGCATTTTGAGTTTGTTATAGTGCTTTCTAAATACAGCAAATCACTTCCTGCCCTCCATTTGCATTTCGCGCCATGGCAACGCAGTGGCGTGACGTCAAATGAAAACAAGCTATTCAGACATGGGCAAGGCAGGTAAAACAGATCCGAAACAACGCATGCGGAACATACACAATTGACCAGACATTGTTCACCAGACACTGAACAAAGGAAACACTGGGGGATAAATAAACAGGGTAACAAGGGAGGGCTTGACATGGAACAGGTGTGGAAAATAAATCGCTATGGCAACAAACAAGGGGAATTAGTTAAACAAAAGGACTACAAAATAAGAGATGCGGAACTAGAAATACAACATAAAAGTCCAAACAAACAGAAAATGTAACACTCAGGAAATATAAAAAATGCAACCCATTTTACTTTCATACTGTAACTCCAATCTCTAAGTGAAACAGAATATTATATATATATATATATATATATATATATATATATATATATATATATATATATATATATATATATATATATATATATATATATATGGTTTTGATGACATTGGCCAAAAAGGAAAGTTGTTTTGGAGTTGGAGCAAGTTGTTACATTTTAATGAAAAAATTACTTGACAAACTTGTTTTTCCTTCAGATCATTGTATTATAAGATAGCTGATGTTTCTCCTAAAATTCCATAGGACAAATTAAAATAGAAACAAAGAAGACATGTATAGAGCTATACAATTAATGTGGATAACATCACTGAAATAATTTGGTCTAATTTAATCCAATTTGATAAGAAATGATTGAGTTCATATTGAGACTGACTGTCATTTGCAGATCCAGGAATCTTGGCAGTTTGAGATAATGTCATTGTCTTTTCTGAAGCTAGGAGTTCACTAGGGTCTTTTCCCTAGGAGAAAATCAGAGAATCAGGAGACCAAAGTAAAAGTTTCCTCTCCATTGCTGTCTAGGAGAAACAACTGAGCTACTGACATCTCTCTCTCTCTCTCTCTCTCTCTCTCTCTCTCTCTAGCCTAACGACCCTGTAACAAACATCTGCCAAGCAGCTGACAAGCAACTCTTTACCTTAGTGGAGTGGGCCAAGCGGATACCTCACTTTTCTGATCTCCCGTTGGACGATCAAGTCATCCTCCTTCGAGCAGGTGCGTCAGTAAATAAACACAGACCACTTTTTTTTTTCTGAGACATGCAGACATCAACCTAAAATGACCCGTTTGCTGTACATCTATTCTTCCAGATGAAGTTACCGCTGAAAAAAAAAAACATCAGCTAATGAAATGAGTATGTTTGCGGTTTTTTGACATTACAGTCTATTCCAGAAGCATTTATATAGATTTGCAAATACATTTGATCCAGCCTTGGGCCATAGCATCGATTAAAGAAGGAATTCCATCTCATTATCTCGGAGTTAGAGTCCTTATTCTGTAAAGAAGGATGGCTTTGACACAGAGCGAGGGAGAATAAGAGGCTTGATTGTTCTCGCCGTTCACATGTTGCATTTATTTTATTAGGCTGTAGGTTGCCTGAGGACAACCAAACTCTCAGTGTATTTCTGTTCAGTATGTTTTATTTAGAGACTCAGAAATGGGATTGTAGCATATGAAACTGTGACAATGTATTAAACATGTATAGAAATGTCCTCATTGAAACGAAACACAATTTTGGTTAACAACTTAAGTTGATATTGAGCTATATGAGTAAAGAAATAGAGCAGACAAATCAACCACACACACACACAGACACAAAGTAGATGTTTTGCTCCCTTTCTGGCTCCCTTTGTTTGCTTTTTTGCTTATCAATGTGCTTTTGTGCTCCTGTCCTCTGTTGCTAGGGTGGAATGAACTCCTGATTGCCTCTTTTTCGCATCGTTCCATAGCTGTAAAGGATGGGATATTATTAGCTACAGGCCTTCACGTCCATAGAAACAGCGCACATACTGCCGGTGTGGGAGCCATCTTTGACAGGTTAGTCCAAGCTTTCAGAGACAAAAAAAAAAAAAAGCCTGAGCTTGTATGGTTTTCTATCTTCAGTGGAACACAAAAGGTGAATTTCTGAAGAATATTTTAGATGTTCTTTTAAATATAACGGAAGTGAATGGGGATTTTGTCAAGCTTACAAAATACAAAAATGGCACCTTAAAAACTCCAATAAAAGTATAATGTTATACGGCTATACGGTCCAATAAAAGTATTCAGTTCATCTTTGTGGCAGGGAGGACAGAACGTCTTGTTCCCTCCGTCAGGGAACGATTCTCATGATTCTGCAGAGAAATCTCCACCAATCAAAGAATCGAAACAAGCAAATCACACCAAAAGAAGCAACTGATTTCCATGAAGCACTGTGAATGGCGTAAAAGTCAGTTCAGTGCTTTTCCGAGTGAATGCAACGTTTCTCTGTGTAACGCAATACGTTTGCAAGAAAAAAGCATTAAAATAATAAATTTTCTCCCATCTCATATTTTTCCGTCCCCTTAGGGGCTCCTATATATGAATATTTTCAGTGTCGGCACCACAAGTGGGCCCCGGGGGGCGTGGACCGCACACTTGAGTCACTTCGATTCCACTTCATCCGTTTCTTCGAATCAATTTGTTTGTAATGTTGTTATTCTCTTCATAGCTGGTTGGTTTAGTTCATGCATTTAAACTCTTTAACAAAGACTTTTTTTAAATAATAAATGGGAAATATACTTTCAGAACCAAGGCCACTGAAAAAGTGGATGGACACTGTTGCACTGTACCAAATCGTCTGAAGCCTTATGATAGTTTTGTGTGAAGGACAGACCAAAGTTGTTATTCACCGAAACCTCAAATCTCAAATCACATTTTCCACACACAAAAATATCACAGGGCTTTATAAGACGTGGAACATAGTTGTATTCAATTTGTGAGACTTTTATGATAATTTTGGGTACTTTTTTTTTATTTTGGAGCATGGTTGATCCAGTCCCCATTCACTTAAATTATATGGAAAAGAGCAGCTACAACATTCTCCTAAATTTTTGTGTTCCACAAAAAAGTGAAAGTAACACATATTGTTAACAATGTGAGGGTTAGTAAATAGGGGCTTGTTCCTATAACTGAGTTCCTATATACCCGGTGCAAAAGCCTCTAGTTATGATGAACGAATTTCCATTTTGGGTGAACTATCGTTTTAAATTCAGTGTCAGTGTTCAGTTTATAGAGAGTAGATCTACTAAGAAACCTTTCTGTGTCCTGATAGTACACCGTGTGGAAGATTTGTGACAGCCGTAGGTCATGCACACATGAATTTTTGAAAATAACCCCTATAATGATATTAGACGCGGCATCAGGAAAGTGTCCTGCAGATCTTACTCTTGATTGATGCCGTTTTTACATTAAGCCGGATGGCATTTTTATGTAGCGCTGTGATAATGTTTCACTGGCTGCGTGAGATATGCTGGTGTCCTCACTAATGAAATATATGCTGCCCGGTCTGTCTGCAGTCGAGATGAATGTGACTTATAAGACATAATGACTTTGATTTTCCAGGCAATATGAAAACTAAATATAAAGCTGAGCAATGACTCACTGAGCCTGTTTAATATGTTACAGAACATTTACAGGCATTTTTAAGGGTATGTTGGAGAAAAATGAACTTGCTATAATTTAGATTGGCTGAGTTGCCTGTGAGCGTAAAGATTTTTTCACTTTTTGTTTTTCAGAGTGCTGACAGAGCTTGTGTCAAAGATGAGAGACATGCAAATGGACAAGACTGAACTTGGATGCCTGCGGGCCATTGTTCTGTTCAATCCAGGTACAGTAACGTATACTTTAACTGAAGAGGCATTTTAAACGCACTTGCATAAGAGTGCTGTGTGTTTGTCTGATTAAGCTATCTTGCTATTTGTTTTGGTCCATTTAAAAAAAAAGAATTAGTTGAAATAAAGCCAGAAAGGGTAAATGAGATTCCTGTGCCTGTAAACCTCAGTATAGCAGGCTTTATAGCTAGCAGTATATACTGTGTCTGCAACATTGTTCTCACATGTACTCTGTGTTCAAACAATAAAAAATGGTCATTTTGGTGTGTAAAAATGTCTTAAATATTGACAGTCCAGTCAAATAATGAGTCAAGAAAGAGATCACTTTTGACCATTTGTTATGGTGGCACCTGCAGCTGTATGGATGTACGCACTTTGTGTACCGTGAGCACTCCGACTGACCTAAGAAACGTCTGCAGTTATGCGTCTGCGAATATTTCTGCAGTTATTACGCGTCCCGCATTTCTGTCGACTAAACAATCAATGACAATCATTTTGTAAATTAATCGTTCTTTTGAATTGGTTCTTTGTCAGCATTGGATGAAATGGATATTCCCCTAAACAACAACTCAAACAAAAGCTACTTTTTGAAAAAAATCAGCTACTGCCATGTGAATAAGCGGACATTTACACCGAAACGTGTCTCTATGGAAGCTTGTTTCTGCCATGGAATAAAAAAAAAACATATAAGATAATAATATCTCAAAATTCATACTTTTTTTCCCTCCCAATTCTGACTTTTTTCCTCCAGAGTTATAATGTCAAAATGATATGCATAATGCATATGTATATATGCAGGGGATAATCGGGAACTAAATAAGATACAGCTGATTAGAATTAATCACAGGAATAAACTGGGACATAACCGAAACTAAACAGAGCAGGAAGACATGAACTAAAGGAACCAAGTCGAAAACGGTGAAAACGGTGACGGCATGCACGTGCGTATTACGTGTTTGGTCTAGGCATGCGCGTTTGAATGCGTATGTGCGCAGGCGCGTAGTCTTTCTCTACAAAGTGACTCTGCCAACTACTTGTCTGGCATGCATAATACATACAATGTTGTCAAAACAGGCAGATCAAAAATATTAAGAATAATAAGTGTCCCCAACAAAGCGAGCAAGAGGCGACAGTGGCAAGGAACCCAAATTCCATCAGGTGACAGAATGGAGGGAAAAAAACAGAATATAATGGAAATTTCAAAATAAAAGTCTATAACCGTGACAATATCTCGCAATTCTGACTTCTATTCTCAGAATTGTGAGATATAAACTCACAATTGCGAGTTATAAAGTTCAATTCTGTCTGACTTTATAACTCACAATTGCGACTTTATATCACTCAATTCTAACTTTATGGGCCCTATTTTAACGATCTGAAACGCAAGTGTCGAAGCGCAAGTAACTTTGTGGGCGGATCCCGGCCCTGTTGCTATTTTCCCGGCGGGAAAAATGCCTCTTGCGCCAGGCGCAAATCTAAAAGGGGTTGGTCTGAAGTAGCTTCATTATTCATAGGTGTGGTTTGGGCGTGAAATAAACCAATCAGAGCGTCATCTCACATTCCCTTTAAGAGCAGGCGCGCTTGTTCTAAAGCGGATTCCTATTATAACGGCGGATTTGCCAGGCGCGCGACAGGAGCGGTTTACAGCCGAGGAGAGCAACGTTCTCGTCAGGGCCGTAAAACACAGAGAAGTGACATTGGGGATGGAGAAACCCACCCAAATTAACTTCTGTTAAACAGGCGTATGATAATTTGGGTAAATGTGTAAGCTACATTTATGCTTTTATAATAAATTGTCTATCTATCTATCTATCTATCTATCTATCTATCTATCTATCTATCTATCTATCTATCTATCTATCTATCTATCGTAATAATGTATGATTTGCAAAAATGAAAACTGCTGCTTAGATGAGAGAATCGTATGCGCGTTGTGCACACGCTACATTGATTATGGTCAAGCATGCGCCCTTAAAATAGCATAATGAACAACGCGCAACGCGCCACTGACTTTAGACTAGGTTTTTTCTGGTCAGTGGCGCAATTGTTTTATAGAACAGCAAAATAGCATGAGGGAAAGTTTGCGCCGGAACACGCCTCCTCTTTACGCTGAACCGCCCCGGGGAGCGCAAGTGTATTTCTTAGTTAACCGACGTGCGTCTGTGGAGGGAAAAGTCCGCTTTGCGCGGGTGCAAAATAGGAATGACACATGCGTCAGTGTACAAAGTCATTTGCGTCGGGTGCAAGATAGGGCCCTATAACTCACAATTGCTATTTCATATCACTCAACTTTATAATAACTCACAATTGCGACTTTATATCACTTAATTCTGACTTTATTACTCACAATTGTGACTTTATATCACTCAATTCGGACTTTATTACTCACAAGCCCACAGTGGAAAATGAAACCGTCTCCGCACTGAGCCGGATCGGCACAGAATGGAACGGTTAAGCAACGAGAATGGTTTGGCCCAACAGTGGAAAAGCGCCTATACTCAAGAAATTTAAAACTTCTCTCAGAGTTGAATTTTTAACATCAGCATATATTGAACTTTTTAGTGTTGGTGTTTGCAAAAATAAATAGATAAATAAATAAATCTCCTCTGGAATACTGCAGGCGCCCCTGACAAAAGGTCAATTCAAGCACATTGCATTGTGGAATATGGTATCCGACGCTGAGGGCTTTGCCAAAAATAGTATGCTCAGCATCCTCTCTTTATATGTACAGTATGGGAAGAACGTTCTTAGAAGGCGATGCACTTTGTTTCAAATGTCATGACAAAGTACAATCATTCTATATGGAAAGAGGATTGCTTCTTCTGAAATAGCTGAACTCTACAGCCTAAATTTATTTGGTTAAACTACCATTACCCATCACCCACAAGACAAGATACACACAAACATACACTACCATTATAAATTTGGGGGTTGGTAAAATTTTGTAATATTTTTGAAAGAATTTTCAGCATCATTACTCAGTCTTCAGTCACAGGATTCTTCAGAAATCATTATAATAGCCTGATTTGGTGCTCAAGAAACATTTCTTATTGTTATCAATGTTGAAAACAGTCGTGCTGCTTACTATTTTTGTAGAAATCATGAAACATTTTTTTTTTCAGGATTCTTTGATGAATAGAAAGTTCAAAAGAACAGCATTTATTTGAATTGGAAATGTTTTGTTACACTATAAATGTCTTTACTGTAACTGTTAATCAATTTAACACATCCTTGCTCAATAAAAGTATTAATTTCTTTAAAAAAATTCACTGACCCCACACTTTCAAACAGTAGTGTAGCATCTAATAAAATAACACCTTAAAGGAATAGTTCACTTAAAAATGACAATTCTGTCATCATTTACTCACCCTCAAGTTGTTTTAAACCTGTATGTTTCTTCCGCTGAACACAAAAGTAAATATTTTGAAGAATGTCAGTAACCAGACAGTTGAATGGACCCCATTGACTTCCATAATAGGAAAAAAAAAAATATGTAAGTATGTAAGTATGTAAATACTATGTAAGTCAATGGGGTCCATCAACTGTTTGGTTACCGACTTTCTTCAAAATATCTCATTTTGTGTTCAGCAGAAGTAAGAAATTCATGCAGGTTTGAAACAACTTGAGGGTGAGTAAATGATGACAGAATTTTCATTTTTAAGTGAACTATTCCTTTAACATGACTTCATTTGTTTTGATGTGTATCAGGCAAGGTTTATGCTTACATGCCATTTCTTATGAAAGCTGTGTGTAAATATGACTTTATCTTAGATAGTTCACAATAAATTGTGGATTTTGTCTTTTTATCAACTCTTAGATTCAAAAGGACTGTCTAATCCATCAGAGGTGGAGGCATTAAGAGAAAGAGTGTATGCTTCTCTAGAGGCCTACTGTAAACACAAATACCCTGATCAGCCTGGGAGGTACACACACACACACACACATACAGGGGACTCTCCACAGACGTAATGGATTTTATACTGTACAAACTGTATATTCTATCCCCTTACACTAACCCTTCCCCTAAACCTATACAGTACCTATCACAGAATACTTTCTGCATTTTAACATTTTCAAAAAAACAAAGAAAATCTGTATGATTTCTGTATGGTTGCATGTTCATTTAATTTTCACAACCAATTTTACTTATAGTAAAAGTCGATCTTATTTTATATTTAAAATATATATATTTTACAATACTATAAAGAAGTTTTTGAGCGGTAAGATTTTGTCATGTTTTAAAACTGTTATGCTAATTAAGGCTGCATTTATTTATACAATAAAAACATTAATATTTCAAAATATTATTACAATTTAAAATAACGGTTTACCATTATTTGCCATAAACATAAACAATTGCTATATAAAGATTATATTTGAAGATTCGTGGTTACATCTGAAATTGGTTGTTTGTCATGTTTTTTAATGCATTATACTTTCTAAAGGCATAACAATATAGTTACAATTATTCATGAGATCATAAAAATTCATTATAAGGTGCATTACAAAGCATAATTATAAAATAATATAATACTTTTATAATGCATTATACAGAAAGGATTTAAGTAAAGTGTTACCAATCATTCTATTATATGCTGATTATGTGCTATAGAAACATTTCGTATTATTATCATCATTGAAAACAGTTGTGCTGCTTAATTTTTTGGGGGGTAAACATGATACATTCAGGATTTTTGGATGAATAGAAAGTTTAAAAGAATAGCATTTATCTTTTGTTACATTATAAATGTCTTTACAGTCACATTTGATCAATTTAATTTGACCTTGGTGAATAAAAAATTAAATAAAAACACTGACCCCAAACCTTTGAACGATAGTGAAAAAAAATATTTACCTTACCTTAACATTTTAAGAAAACGGCTTAAATGTTCACCCAAAAATTAAAATTCTGTCATTAATTACTTACCCTCATGTCATTCCAAACCCATAAGACTTTCATTCATCTTCAGGAACACAAACGAAGATCTTTTTGATGAAATCTGAGAGCTTACTTGTCCCTCCATTGATAGTTCAAGTTGTATTTATAGAGCACAAGTTTAACACAACCGTAGTTAAAAGTGCTTTACAATACAATACAAATATAAATCAGAATTTAAGAGAGAAAAGGAGCAGAAAAAAAAGACAGAAATGGAGATAAAAATCAAGTATCAAAATCAATTAATGTATATATAACAGCATCACTCGAATGCTAGAGAGTAAAAATAAGACTTTAAACTGGATTAAAAAGCATCCAGTGATAGAGAGGCCCTAATGCTCAAAGGTAGACTGTTCCAGAGCTTTGGGGCGACTACAGAGAAAGCTTGATCACCTTTTGTTTTACAACAAGAACGTGGGACCGATAAAAGTAACTGATCATAAGATCTTAGTGACCTAGATGCTATGGCCTAATAAGATCACAAATATAATCCGGGGCCGAATTGTGCAGTGCCTTGTATGCTAAAAGAAGGACTCTAAATCTCATTGGTAGCTAATGCAATGAGGCAAGTACAGGGGAGATATGATCCCTTTTCTTAGTTCCTGTTAACAGTCTGGCTGCTGAATTTTGAACCATCTGTAACACCACTTTGACGTTTCAAAAAGTTCATAAAGTGATCGTAAAACTAATCCATATGAATTGAGCGGTTTAGTCCAAATTTTCTGAAGAGACTCGATCGCTTTATGAGATGAACAGATTTCATTTAAGCTTTTATTCGCATTTAAACATTGATCAGCGAACATAAACTGAAGCTCAACTGAACCTGCTTGACGCCTCATTGGTTCTTGCAGAAGCTCAAAAATGCCCCGAACATGCTTGAGCTTCTGTTTACCACAACAGATGTGTGAGTTGATGGATGTTTATATGTGAATAAAAGCCTAAATTAAATCAATTCATCATGTCTCCTTCGAAAATTTGGACTAAACCGCCCAATTCACGTGGATACGTTTTACGATCTCACTTTTTGAAGCATCAAAGTGGTAGTTGACTAGCTGTCAATGGAGGGACAGAAAACTCTCAGATTTCATCAAAAAGATCTTCATTTGTAATTAGAAGGTGAAAGAAAGTCTTACAGGTTTGGAACGACACGAGGGTGAGTAATTAATGACCGAATTTTCATTTTTCTGTGAAATAGCCCTTTAAGTATTACACTGTGCCAATCCAAACATTGACATCCATTGTTTCATGAACAGATTTGCCAAGCTGTTACTGCGTCTGCCTGCCCTGCGCTCCATCGGCCTGAAGTGTCTTGAACATCTCTTCTTTTTCAAGTTAATCGGGGACACGCCCATCGACACTTTTCTAATGGAAATGCTCGAGGCGCCACACCAAATGACATGAGGGATTGATTTCTTTTCATCTCCGCCCCTCTGACAGAGGGTGCAGCTTATGTATAGAACACTACAGGAGGCCGGACAGGACACATCTCTGATCTCACTGGAGAGGACTGAACCGAGAGTAATTCTACCTTGGCGTTTCTTCAGAAAACATTGCGCAATCCACAAAATACTGAGTAACTGTTCATTGCGGAATACCATACAGGATGGATTAAGTGAGGTTTATTTCCTGGTTTGCATGCACTTTGGGAAGTCTCACAGAGTTCTGGAGTTTTTTTTATTTGTATGGTTTCTCATTTCTTCTGCCTTACAGAGGTCTACCTCTGCTTTCCATTGAGTACACAGCCAAACCGCCTCATCTCTGAACTCACAATCATTTTGCTGTGAATTTTCAGATTTCATGAGAGGATTAAAATAAAAATACCTCGGATGCACTTCTTCATGCAGCTGTCCTTAAGGAACACATCACTGTATCTGCCATTAGAAGCTCTTGCTCAAACTGTAGCACAGAGTTCAGTGTTAACAGTGTTAAAAGGACCACATTTGTTTGTTTTTCAGGCACTTATAATTTGCTTCTTTCAAGTTGTATTGTCATACGTCAGGATGCTGAAAGTCTCTTCATGAGGAAGAAACTGCACGCAATTTGGCTTTAAGTCCTTTTCTTTTTGGGAGATATATGGGCCTATGAATAACATAATGGTCTAAAAAAGAATGAAAAGCAGGTGTACTCCTGGCTGAACTCACGCTGGATGAAAATGCAATGATTCATTGTTAGAATTGTGTAAAAAAAAAAAAAAAGTTTTTTTTCATGATGTTTTGCCTATAATTCAGCATAAATATGTATTAAGTATTTCCAAAGATTTTCAATAATGTTTATATATCATCTGATCATTTCCAGCAAGTGGGTGTTTTTGATTTGGTAAATATGTATCGAGTTACAGGAATCCAGATGATAGTCTGGCCTCAGGGAATCACGAGGTTTAAGAAGTGCTACGTCTGTCCCCTATTGGAAGAGTTGTGACATTGCAGCTGCACTCATTTGCCATTACAGTTTAAGAGTTGGGGTTTCATAAAATGCTTGGCAAACATAGCAAAATAACATTTCTGCGCCTCAGGTTGATGCAAAATCCCACGTTTTCTTGTGTTTTTGGTTCTGTTGTGCAGTGTCTTATCTGTATCATAAGGAAGAAACTGTAAATGTTGATAATTACAGATTCATACCATTTGTACTGACCCATCAAACCTCAGTTGCAGATTGAGCCAATCTGAACCAGTGTTTTCATGATGACGATGAATTACAGTAGTTAGTCAACATTTGAAGTGGATCAAAACCTTTCATCAAAGTTATACATTAATTTTGAACAAAAGCGTTCTTGTCTTAGGACAACTTTGATGAACTTTTTTGATCCCCTTCAAATGTTGACTACTGTAATTATTGGAATTCGGAAAGTATGTGACTGTGTAGGGAATTGTCATTAGCAGACATATGCAGAAGACCTGCTGATTTAGACTACACATTCTGCCAAATCTATTACGCCAGGCCTCACAGCAAAATGACGACAGAGTATTCAGTCTATGCATACAAACAGCATTGTCTATGCTTTACAGAACGTAAAATTATAGCGGTCATGTTTTTTTTTTTTTCATGCTTTGAATCAGCAGTCAGGGAAGATCAGTGAACTTTTGTTTGTTCTGTCATTGAACGTCTTTGGCCTTTCATTTCTCCAAAACCAGCATATTTCGAATGTGCAAACAAGAACTAAAAAGCCCCTTGCTGTGGTAAATACATGTAAAGCGCTTGGGTTTACACTGTGTTGGACTAGTCGTCAAACAGGGTTTGTTAGACCATCTGATACACATCTGATATCAGCTGCAATCAGACATCTTTCTCTGAATCTGTAATAGTTCCCTGTGACTGTGTGAGACACCAGTCCATCACAGGACACGTTAGCAAAACACAAAAGAGATGCATTTTAAAAGAGTTATCTATTTTTGTACAAAGTGTAATTTTTTTCTCTGTATCATTATTTTATCAGTTCCATGTTGTACACATTGTTGGTGTAAATATTCGTTTTTAACTGGAGCCATGCCCTTAAACCTGGACTGAGGGAAAGGTTTATTTGCAAAGGCTTCTGTTCTGTTGTTTTCGTGGTACCCTCACCTGAGATCTGAGGATGGCTCCCTCGTTCTTTTTTACAAGACAAATTGAGGTTGTGTTGTGTATTGACCTGTTATATAATGTCTGCTCAAAGGACTATTAAATTTCAGATTGTAAAAAAGGCTGATGTCATCTTCAGAAAACAGAATTATTTGATAATTATGAATAAATGATGATATACAAGATATTTGTAGACAAGATATTTCAGCAACACTTTACAATAAGGTTCATTTGTTAACATTAGTTAATGTATTAACTAGCATGAACTAACCATGAGCAATGCATTTGTTACTGTAGTATTTGTTCATCTTTGTTAACGTAAGTTAATAAAAATAAAGCTGTTGGCCTACATTGTTCATGTTAGTTCACAGTGCATTAACTAATGTTAACAAGATTTTAATAAAGTATTAGTAAATGTTGAAATTAACAAAGAATAATAAATTCTGTATAAGTGCAGTTCATTATTAGTTTATGTTAACTAATGTTACAATAAGGTTAACTAGTAAACCTTATTGTAAAGTGTTACCGATATTTCTATATACCCTTATAGCAAAGTGTGCAGAAGATCATACACTTTATGGAGATTAACCTACTACTCAAATGAGAATGAAAATACAACTGAGACTAAGACGAATGAATACCTTCTAATTCAAAGCTGAAATGCTGGAAAATTATGTTTAGAAACAACTGAAGGTTCCAACAGACATTGCTAATTCACAATTGCAAAAAAGGCAAAAATGTACATCAAGAGACATTTTCTCATTTAACAAAACCGTTTATATATACATTTTTGGTATGCCTACCAGAAGTACATATATCCTTACCCAAACAGAACCATAAAACAATAGAATTCATGATCTGATAGAAAACATTTGCTCTTCTGTAATAAATTAAAATGAACCGAGAACATTACAGTAGATTATACAGTATATTAAGGGGAGAAAATCTTACTGATAAGTGAGATGTCACTATTCTAAGCAGATAGGACCTGCCCATCTCTCAGATAAGCCTGAACCATGTGCTATCAAACCATTGTAAAAGACAGATACTATTTATAGTCATCAGTCTGAATCTTTCAACTAAAGCCTCAAGTATATGCTTTAACTTAACAATCACTCTTCCACAGTTTGATGGTCTTGTCGTTCTCCAGGGATGCTGATGCAATGATGTTTTCTGTAGGGTGACAAGCTGTCGAGATCACTACATCTAAGGACAAAAATACATCATATTTACAACCTCTTATGTTAACAAAATGAAAGAGACTTCAGTGTCTGGGAGGTCAATCAAATGTCATATACCTGTGTGCCCTTGTAATTTCTGCACAATTTCTTTGGTCTGCAAGTTCCAGATATACACCATATTGTCTTCAGAGCCTGAGACGATCCACTGAACGGAACCAAGACAGATTCAGGTTATTCAAAAAAACTTGCTCTTAACAGGACCTGGACTAAAATAACTATATAAATATGTATTAAAACAAATACTTTGACAAAGTTAAACAGAACCTACCTTTCCTCCAGTCACAGAAAAATTGGCAAACACGCAATACTTTTCATTCTTATGTCCAGTATATGTCTTGAGACACTAAAAAATATTAAAATATACAATAGATCATTTAAAAGCATGAAAAATTACCCACACAAATTTACTTAACTAAATGTGGACATTCTATTGTTTTATATAGGCCTACAGCTAATTAGAAATACTATAACTTAACACTAACAGAAAACATTCTGCATTTTTATAAACTAAAAAAAAGCTACGGTATTTACTTTTTACTTATTTTTACAAATAAGGATGTCCCCAAAAGGAGGTTTTGCCAGATTTAATACTTTTTGGGGATCAATTTATACCCAGAAATTATATAAGTAGGTGTAAACACATTTGTTTGACTATATTAGCGAGGACATCATGGACATCCACTGTTTATATATATATATATATATGGTATGATATTTGTTATCACTTAACCCGACCTACACCTAAATATAACCGTCACAGAAACCTGTGCAAAACACTAGATTTATATATAAATTGGACCTCACAAGTATAGTCAACCCTGTACACATGCATACAATTTAGCATTATCAACATGTCATAAAATATTTTTTTAATGTTTTTAAATTAATAGTATGTATAATATATACACTATTCATTTGAATGCAATCAGTAGTAGTACAAAATCATTATAGTTAAATTACATACCTTTCCTTTGCTGTAGTCCCAGAGCTTTAAGGTACTGTAAGGAAAATGAAAGAATGTTGTATCTATTTACCCATAGTAAATGCACTGTGAACTAACATGAACATGAGCATGTTTATTAACTAACATTAACAAAGGTTAGAGCTGCAGTCCGTAGCTTTTCCTCTTTGTCGCCATCTCTCTGTTCGAAATCTGTAACTGCAGTGATTCGCGGAATTATCATCTTTACGTGGGTTGTAAATCGGCATGAAACAGCGCGGATGAACAGTGCTTTGAGGCGAGTGCTGCTGTCAGTCACTGCGCTGTGTGGATACTGTCATACAGAATCACAGATTCACTTTTTGAAAGTTTGACCAACATAAGAATTTTCATAAGAAAATGTCTTCTGAACAAGTAAGTAACATCCATTTTTGTTCTGACCAACTAAGGGGGAAAAAGCATTCGACATAAGCTTCGTTAGATTTAATCAACGCGATTTACAGCAACCGTGCAAATTATAGCCTACTTTGTTCTCAAATTGTTCATGTTAACAACATCACATCAGCATTGCGTGACTAATGTTAAATTGAATGTGTTTTATGGTTACCCGTGTAGTTCAGAATTCATATTCTCCATAATAGCAAAACGAGAAAGGCACAACAAAGGAAACTCCATAACTGTGTGAATTAAGAAAACGTACTGTTACACGATTGAACTATTGAAATGTCTTACTTGTTCAGCAGAAAAAAGCCGTCTCTTCTTCCGTTTTGAACCCCTTCAAAACACGGAGTTCACGCACTTTTCAAAAGCCCCGCCGATGTTTAAATCCTTGTGTTTGCATGAGACGGTTTCTTTCTCTTTCTCTAGCCACCTTAAATCCGAAGTACGAAGTCTTTTGGGTTTTATAACTGCTGAATCTCCAGTTGACACTGATGATTGTTGTTTGGATCTTTCTGGATGCCATAAGTTTAATTATGTAAAGTGCTGCGAGAAAAGCCTATACATCTAAACATCTCGTCACGCGCAGTATAGCCGGCTAGCCGAAACTCCTTCTTTATGTGTACGGGTGTGACGTAATGACGCAAAGACATGCTCGAATTTCCCGCGGAAACCCACCAGTACCACTGGAATTAAAATCATTATTACAAGCTAACCGTTTTGAATCTAGCTATGGCAAGCAGATAGGTTTGACCAGTGGCAGAATATGTTTTTTTTAATATAATTATTTTGGATTATTTTTAACTTAAAAAAGTTACGGACAGCAGCTTTAATAAAGGCTGTAAAAATATACATATTATATATATATACATATATATATACACTCACCGGCCACTTTATTAGGTACACCTGTCCAACTGCTCGTTAACACTTAATTTCTAAGCAGCCAATCACATGGCGGCAACTCAGTGCATTTAGGCATGTAGACATGGTCAAGACAATCTCCTGCAGTTCAAACCGAGCATCAGTATGGGGAAGAAAGGTGATTTGAGTGACTTTGAACGTGGCATGATTGTTGGTGCCAGAAGGGCTGGTCTGAGTATTTCAGAAACTGCTAATCTACTGGGATTTTCACGCACAACCATCTCTAGGGTTTACAGAGAATGGTCCGAAAAAGAAAAAACATCCAGTGAGCGGCAGTTCTGTGGGCTGAAATGCCTTGTTGATGCCAGAGGTCAGAGGAGAATGGCCAGACTGGTTCGAGCTGATAGAAGGGCAACAGTGACTGAAATAACCACTCGTTACAACCGAGGTATGCAGCAAAGCATTTGTGAAGCCACAACACGCACAACCTTGAGGCGGATGGGCTACAACAGCAGAAGACTCCACCGGGTACCACTCATCTCCACTACAAATAGGAAAAAGAGGCTACAATTTGCAAGAGCTCACCAAAATTGAACAGTTGAAGACTGGAAAAATGTTGCCTGGTCTGATGAGTCTCGATTTCTGTTGAGACATTCAGATGTTAGAGTCAGAATTTGGCGTAAACAGAATGAGAACATGGAACCATCATGCCTTGTTACCACTGTGCAGGCTGGTGGTGGTGGTGTAATGGTGTGGGGGATGTTTTCCTGGCACACTTTAGGCCCCTTAGTGCCAATTGGGCATCGTTTAAATGCCACGGCCTACCTGAGCATTGTTTCTGACCATGTCCATCCCTTTATGGCCACCATGTACCCATCCTCTGATGGCTACTTCCACCATGTCACAAAGCTCTAATCATTTCAAATTGGTTTCTTGAACATGACAATGAGTTCACTGTACTAAAATGGCCTCCACAGTCACCAGATCTCAACCCAATAGAGCATCTTTGGGATGTGGTGGAACGGGAGATTCGCATCATGGATGTGCAGCCGACAAATCTGCGGCAACTGTGTGATGCCATCATGTCAATATGGACCAAACTCCCTGAGGAATGCTTCCAGCACCTTGTTGAATCTATGCCACGAAGAATTGAGGCAGTTCTAAAGGCAAAAGGGGGTCCAACCCGTTACTAGCATGGGGTACCTAATAAAGTGGCCGGTGAGTGTATATATATAAATAAAACTCGTATGCATTTTAATGCACTGATTAATGTTAAAGTGCCCCCATTATGCTATTTTAAAGTTTCCTAATTTTGTTTCAGAGGTCTCCTACAACAGGTTTACATGCATCAAAGGTCAAAAAACACTTTCATTTTCTCATAATATACATTGCACATCACCACATTTTGCAATGAACATCAAACGACTCGTCAGATGATTCAGTCCCTCCTTTACGAGAGCCTACTCTGTTCTGATTGGCCAGATGGCCCAGTCTGTTGTGATTGGTCTACCACGTACAGCGTGTCGGAAATTAAACTCCCATTACCATAACTGAACTTCAGCTCCGGAGGCTTCCTCAGTCCTTAGGAATTGTGCACATAGTAAAGACAGTAACGATGGCGTCGATTTTATCATATCAATCAGGAGCATGAGTCCAATGATGAAACATTGGAAGAACTAGTTATTCAACCCGAACCTCCATCGCAAGGGCGACTTAAGAAGGACGTTTCTCAGTGATAAGATACTCAGTTTGAGGTACATTATGAGATGCTGCAACTAGGGATGGGCATCGTTAAGAAATTATCGATATCGATGCCATTGTCGAGTCTGCTTATCGATGCGATTCCTTATCGATTCCCATATCGATTCCTGTACCATTTGCTGAACACTTACAGGGTGGCTTTGAGACTTGTCGGCTTTGAATGTCTAATTTAAAGTGGTTTTAGAGAATGAAAACCAAGTGTGCAATATCTAGGGCCCTATGAAATCAGTTTTTATTTTTTTCCCAAATTCCGTTTTATTTTTTCCCAAATTCCGTTTTTTCCATTTAATTTTTGGGAATTCATTTTTTTTTTTTAACCCTTTACTGTTATTTTAGTCATAACAAGAGTGTGCTTTTAAAGTTAATGATTAAAATGTATACAAATAAAATAGGAATGACCTTAAATTACAGACATTTACTGAGTAGCCTTTTCAGGACAAATACTGCATGATGCCACATGACACTGCACTCTTCAAGTAACAACAAAATATGGTTATGAGCTTTAAACTGTCCAGTAAAATAAATTATATTAGACAGACGCGGTGTGTGTGCGCGTGTATGTGAGAGAGACGCGTGAGTGATGGAGGGAGGAGGGAGAGCGGGGAAAGGAAATACAACGGAAAGAATACGCTGCGTGTTTTAAATAGGATTAAAAAAATTAACGAAACGCAATATGTGGCGGCCGGAGTTGATTTTTATTTTTTATTTTTGAATTAGTCTATGTGTGGGAAACACTGCATAAAAGTCACGTGCGAACTGCTCGGCTCGGTACTGAGGGCTTGCCTTATAGTGTCGAGTTTCGCCGACGAAAGCAGAGCCGTGGAGAGCCGCTTCGCCATGCTTTCATTGTTTTGATGCCGTGCCGTCATTGGAGCTGAAATGACGGGAGGGGTTGTGTCGCCCAGATTTGCTTCCCCGGTCTGCATTTAAAATGAAGCCACTCTCTCGATCGTTTACGTCTCGTAGCCATCGCGCTTTTGGGGGATTTAAAAATCCTGTCGCATACTGTAACGTCATGCCGCGACGCGGGAATGGATGGAACGGAACATCCGGAATCGTTAGTGGAGTCGTTAACGTGTGGACGTGTACGATTCCGATGGATCGGAACGTTTGGAACCGGTTCCAAACCGGAACCTGGAACCGATTCCCAAGCCTAGTTGCAACTAATTCCTCACCATCAGCATTAACAAGTGTATGTCCATCAACAAACCGATGTGTATATATCTAATTTATTAAACTGTATCATTAACTGCGTCAATATCAGCGCAAGCATGTAGTGCTCATGTAAGCGGAGCACTAATGTGAATGACTGATGTAACATTAAAGTTTTGTAAAACAAATCTTGCTCAATTCTTCATCATTACTCAAAGTAGTAACGACAGACAATCTGCATTAATAGACACATTTTTAGGTAATAGTGGCACACGGCTGATTAGCATTAACTATTTCAGTAAGACAGTAATAACGTGAGTTAGCCAGAGACCAGTGTTGTGTGTAATGCGTTACAGTAACGTAACTACTTTTTCGGGTAAAAAAGTAGTGTAACGCGATACTACTGAAAATTTGGTAACGAAACGTAGTTCCTTTTTCAATTTGGCGCAACATTACTTTTCCAAGGGACAGATTTGACAGCGATCGCCATCTCCGTAGTGAACGCCTACAGAGAGAAATGCACAATGGATTACATAATCAGAGAGTAGCCTATTTCTTTTCGTTTTGAATTGTTTCGTTTAAAGACATTTCAAGCTTTCTATATATAGATATATTTCTCATGTATGTGAGGCATACGCTGAGTTTCGGTTAATTTATGACGAGGTGCGCTCCAGTTCACGCGCAACAAGTGACCACGCCGGCGCCTCTATGTCATGATTATATTGTCTGCTATATTTGCTTCTTATTTATTAAATCCAGGCAATTGGTTGATAAATTTATTAAAATTAAGATACAATTTATACAAAACGAAATTCACTTTAAAGAAAGGCTTTCTTCAGAACAAAACTTAATGTTAATCTTAAAGTGGTCAAAATCATGTCTGACCCACTCAATGTCTCCCGATATATTGCGCATCCATCTTACTCACGCTGTTCACTTTTCATAATCAACATAGGAGAAAAAAAAACATTATATAATATTTTAACAAATATGAAACTAAATGCGCTTTTTTTAATGGCTGCAACACGTATAGTAGGCCTAGACTCTCTATTTGTACAAATTGCTGCACATTCATTTAATTCTGAATTTTGCACTCATAAGTTGAAAGGCAATTGTTTACGTGCATAGTAAAACATATCTGCAACATTTATCAAGTTCACGGATAATTGTGCGTGCTTTTTTTAATCATTATGATACTAAAATCATAATAAAGTAGGCTATACTATGTACAAAAAATCAGATGAGCCCAGAATATGAACGCAACGTGTTTAATTACACGTTAAGCATTTTACTCCCATAGAAAACCATTATAAGAAGAACGCTAAATTTGGCTCAATGCAGATTAAAATATCCCCTTATTATGTCGAAATAACAAGATAAAAATAAGTTATCTTTTTTTTTCTTCACCTTGCGGTTCAGGACTTCCATAGAATACAGCCTGAATATAATTGCTTCCAGAAATAATTTTTGGGGGTGCTAACGGGGTGCTTTGGTCTTTCTTGGGGGCTTTCTTTCTAGCCCCTCCCTAGCGCCGCCCATGCATATGCCTATCCATTAACGGGCATTTCTTCATATTCAAAATTTTGATAAATGCTGCAAATGCATTATGCATTTATGGCATTATGCATAGTAGAACTTTATGTAGGCCTACACATTTAGGAACAGATATTGGGTTCTGCCCAAAGTCAAGAAAGATAAAAGTAACGTAAAAGTAACGAGTAACGTAAAAAGTTACTTTCCATACGGAGTAACTAAGTAAAGTAACGGATTACTTTTGTAAGAAGTAACGAGTTACACTACTTTTTAAAAGTAACTTCCCCAACACTGCCAGAGACCTACACGATATAAAACACAAAACTACTAATTTTGAACACCCAGTAGAAAATATATACATTAATAATTAATCATGCATACATACAGGTTGTGATTCTGAGGAGCAAGCTGATCCAAATAAAGTGGGTACTGACCCATCTTTCAAGAGCAAGCGTTTTGCGAATCCTGCGGGTCAAGTTGTTTGTGAACGGACAACGTAGAACATAGGCGGGCATTATGCAAATGTGTTGGCTAGTGACGTGTAGCCGTAACTGATTGGGATTCGAAGTCCTGACGGCTCATTTAGGCGGTTCAGAGTCGATTCTTTCTTTTGGGAGACAATAACTTTATTTATCATACAATTTCCACTACAACTTTGCAGACCGTTTACATTTACAGACAGCTATTACACTATGCATGAAAAAGAATATTCAAAAAACCATTAGGGGCACTTTAACAAATGAGACCTTATTGTATAGTGTTCCCATAATATTTATATTATACATTTGTTAGAACTGTTTGGAATTTTGACAGTTTTGCTGAATTAATTTAGTCTCAGAGACTGCATTGAGTGGAACAAATAAAGAGTCACTAGGGGGATGAGTTCACTTACTTGTCCAGTGTTGCAGCTAGAATGTATTTTCCATTTGGAGAAAACTTTACAAACGAGACAGGAGGGTTGTCATCATCTTGAAATAAAAAAAGGATCAGTTGTCTATCAACAGACTCTCCTTATTTGCATTTAGAGAGGCCACATTTATCCAAATTATGCACCACACAACATCCTGCAATCTGGCACCACAATTACACTGAACATCTAAAATAAAGTCCAACTATAATTGGAAAACTTGATATCATGCTCACCAGCTTCATCAGCACATATGGTACATACTACAGAGAAAACAGTCACATACCTATAAGAGTTCTCAGACATTGTCCTGAAGCAGTGTCCCACAATCGACTGAAATACAGTAAGTAACATGAATGGATAAATATTAACATCACATCGGTCTTAAAGAATCAAACGTAAGGATGGTGGCTTACTTGGAGGTGCTGCAAGTAAATGTTTAGTATGTCTGCTCTACATGACAGAGAATGTGCTATGCCACTCTGCCTTTTACGTGTTTGGATTTGTTGACATGCCTTTGGAGGGCAGGGTTTTGGACAGAGGGTGGTATGTGGTTGAATAGATGGGGGTGGTCTTGAGTAAGTTACCAAAAACACTGAAATTACTTTCAGCCCTTTAAAATTTTGTTGACTCATACAATTATGGTTTGCTCATAATACAGTTTAATCATAATATACATTGCATATCACCTAATTTTACAAAGAGTCTGAAAACAGTTTGTTTGAGGATTTAGTCTCTCTAAATCTCTCATTACTGCCAGCCTACTCTGGTCTGATTGGTTAGAAGGCCCAGTCTGTTGGTCTACAGCTTACAGTGCATGTCAGAAAATGAAACGCCTATTACCATATATGAATTTCAGCTCTGGAGGCTTGATGGCGTTTTCATATCAATTCCAGCACAAGTTCTTATGCTTTTGAAGAGCAAGCAAAGTTGATTTGCAGTCCTAAAAACAGCGTCATCTCGACATGTCAACAACACAAACCAAACTCTTCCAGGCCTCAGCTACAACTACATTGTTTGAGGGCAGGTCAAAGTAGACGTTGTTTACAGGCAGCCAATGATGACCATAGGCTGGAATTTTGCTAATTTGTTACATTGTTACGTAGTTATGTAACATGAAGAGAGACTGGAATAGCTGAGACAATAACTTTGTCGCGCACTTTGATCTTTAAAACCTTGCAGACATTTTACATTCACAAACAGCTATATTACACACTGCATTTGAATAATATTCAAAATAGCATAATAGGGGCACTTTAATAGAAGGCGCTACTCAACTTACCATAAACCATCATAGCTACTGGATACTATCAGAGATCCATCTCTGTTAAAGTGAACCTGGAAACATTAGATGAAAATGACATCATCAAAATCTGCATGAAAGCTAACAAAACCATTTTTTAGGAATTAATTTTTACCGCTGAGACTGGGTCCGAGTGAGCTGGCAGGGTCTTCAGACACTTCCCAGTTTTGACATCCCAAATCCGTACACTCTCATCAAACTGTCAACATGAACCACACCACTCGATCACTAAATGACATATCGTTGTAATCGTTGTCTCAAATGCATATTTATTTTTTGCATTTTAAAAAATAATCCATCTTTCTGTTTACTTACAGATCCAGAAACAACAAGATTCGACTGTGGGTTGAAGTTACAACAGAAGACGTAGTTGCTGTGGCCTTTTAGTGTCTTTAGACATTTTCCCTTTAAAAACATGACAGAGAATTTGCAGACAAAACTCAGAAACTGATATGGGTGACACCTACAGCATCAGAATATATATTAAAATATCTATGAAAAGATTTACCGAACTCATATCCCAGATCTTTAGTGTCTTGTCATCTGATGCAGACACCAAAAGATTTGAGTCTGAAGACCAGGCCACATCTGATATTCCCTGCCAAATACAACACAGGGTTGTAAAACACTTCACAATATGATCTCTAAATGTTGGAACAGGAATATTCTTAAAGGGATAGTTCACCCAAAAATGAAAAGTACCCCATGATTTACTCACCCTCAGGTGTATATGACATTCTTCTTTCAGACGAATACAATCTGAGTAATATAAAAAAAATGTCCTGGCTCTTCCAAGCTTTATAATGGCAGTGAATGGCCGGTTTCTATTTTGAAGTCCATCAAAGTGCATCCATCCATGATAAAAGTGCTCCACATGGCTCTGCGGGGGTTAATAAAGACCTTCTGAAGCGAAGCGATGCGTTCGTGTAAGAAAAATATCCATATTTCAAACTTTATTGGCTAAAATAACTAGCTTCCAGCAGACGGCGATACGCATCGATTTACAGCGAAAGAGTAACGGCCATTTCACACCGCATGCGTGAGCGGCGCGTATTTTTTCCGGCGTCCATGTTAATCAATGAGTGCATTGGCAGACCGGGAGCAGGAGCAGCGCGTGAGCGTCGAGCAGGAGCGTCGCGTGAGCAGCAGTGAAGCGGGGGTTTCGGTGTCGAGTCTGTTTTTGCTGCACTGCTCTCGCTAAATTAAAGTGAAAGCACACTTTTGATGGACAACAATAAATATGATTTCACACAAAAAGTGCCCAAAATGCACAGAATAAGCATGTCTAGTGAGTTTTAACAAGAACTTGAGTAGGCAAATAAAAGAAAATCAAGATTCAAAAATATTTATAGAAGATTTAGGCTACCCGGTAAAAACTTGTTTTTAATTATTCAGTTTGGGTGAAAGTTGTGTATTATATTAAAAAAAAAATTATAATATAAACGTTCTTTTAGTGTAACACACAGACAGCTACATAGGCTAGCACAACCAAAATCAAACCCGAGTGTGTGGTTTTTTTGTGTGTTTTGTTTTTATCCGCGGAGTTTGCGGTCTTGTAAACATATCGAAAGTATGAATGAAACTAATAGATTGGAGCCATTTTCTGGGTTGTTTTGTTGTTTAACATTTATATGCGAATGTTGTACACCTCCCCATAACAAACTTTCAAGACTATCAATGTTATAAATGACCATTGTTCTAAAAACAAATGTATAGTTGTCTTTGTAAAGAATTGCTCGCTTATATATATAGCTTTGGAGCCGCTGCTGTGACACTGTACAAACGCTTCCAGTGTGATATGAATACTCTCACGCGTCTGCAACTGCAGTGACGATGTAGTTACGCTGACGCGCTGCTCAAGTGCCGCTCACGCTTGCGGTGTGAAACGGCCGTAACACTTGATCTGACACTCAACGTAATGACGAACGCGGAAGCGCAGAGGATAGAGCAGAACAAAACACCAGTCACAATGTCGGAGGAGCTTGAGTTTGTTGCCCAGCCCTGTTTGTTTGAACCGTGAGAGGCGTCAAAGCTTACGCTACTCTTACATCCTACGTCATACATAGTCAAGTGTAACTCTTTTGGTGTAAATCGACTTGCGTAGGCCGTCTGCTAGAAGCTAGTTATTTTAGTCGATAAAGTTTTAAATATGGATATTCTTTTTACACGAACGCTTCGCTTCACTTCAGAAGGTCTTTATTAACCCCCGCAGAGCCGTGTGGAGTACTTGTATCATGGATGGATGCACTTTGATGGACTTCAAAACAGAAAAGGCCATTCACTGCCGTTATAAAGCTTGGAAGAGCCAGGACATTTTTTTTAAATAACTCCGATTGTATTCGTCTGAAAGAAGAATGTCATATACACCTAGGATGGCTTGAGGGTAAGTAAATCATGGGGTAATTTTCATTTTTGGGTGAACTATCCCTTTAAAGTCTCCCAAGATACACAATTGCTTCATATGATGAACATATTTAATTTAGGCTTTTATGTACATATAAACATTGATCAAAGGACATAGAGCTCATGAAATACGGTCAATGACAGCTCAACCATACTTGAGATAACTTTAAGCACTTTTTGAAGAGTGAAAGTCTTAGTGGAATGGACTTTCAAAAAGAAAGGAAGAAATTTCTCAGGTTTCATTAAAAATACCTGTTTTGAAGACGATCGAAAGTCTAATGGGTTTGAAACAACATGAGGGACACGAGTTAATTGATGACAGAATTTTCATTCTTGGGTGAACTATCATTTTAATTTTCATTAAACTCACAAGTTTATGTCCAGCAAGACTCTTCTCAAATTTTCCGTCAAAAGTGCACCATATTTTGATGAGCTTGTCTGCCGCTGAAAAAGAGATTGTCATTTTTAAAATCTTCAGACATTGGTTTGCTGTTTTATAGATTACAATTGAATGTTACAACACAAAACAAACAAGCACTACTTACATGAACTGGCCAACCATTCACCACTAGGGCTAAATTTCACTGATGAAATAGCTTTTGTGTGGCCTGCGAGGGTGAACTTCAATGAGTAGTTTGGCTTCACAGGGGCAGACTTGAGGAAAAAAAGTATACAGATTACATCAACAGAGAAACACCTTAACTTCTGGCTAAAACTGCATTTAAAGTTGGCATGAAACGGAAGTTGCAAAAATGTAGGACGGGACTTGATTTGTCCATTGGGAAATGTTTAGATTGTTGAATCGTTGTGGTTTGCTATTGCTGTATCGTTGTGGTTTGCTATTGCTGTGATCTCATGTGAGTGACAAGTTGTGCCGCCCTAACGGCAGTCATCAAAGAAGAGAAGAGATTTCATTGCAAGAGGGAGGGGAAATCAATTTGAATAAGATTACAAGGACACATGCTTTTTTATATGATGTGCACAGATAAATAATTTATAATAAATACTGCAATATTCCGGGTTTTTTTTTTTTTAATGTTCAAATTTGAATTCACGGTGACTTTAAAAGAGCAAAGCAACCAAAAAAAAATGGCTTTTTTTTTTTTACCTTAGAGGATGATGATGCTCCATGTGTCTTATGTGTCTCTGTGTCCAGCTTCTTCTCTGATGCCATCACTGCATCTCATGTGGTCAAATAGTTACTCTAAATAACAGAGAAAGAGATCATCAAGTAATTGAAGAGACTAGAAAGGTGTACAAGATTCAAATGCCATTTGTATATCAACAAAGCAAACTTGACAGCGTTGAGCTGCTTCAAAATGCACATGGCCTAAAAGGAAAGTCTCGCTACAATAGCATGGCAGCCAAGCCAGTTACTTCCTCAGACTAATTCATATGTTTATTTACTACATGGTGCGGCGTATATTTTGACAGTCAGACACACATGAATCAGTTAGAACAGTAAACAACTATGTAGTTAACGCCCTATCACGCACACACGCCTGTCACTGCTGTTCACTCACACACCTAGCACGGCTAACAACCGAACCAGAGTACTTGCATTCAGCTCAGTTTCCAAACCATATAAGCGACGGAACACGAACAAAAAAAGGATTAACTTACTAGAAGGTTCTCAACCAAAGTTTCGGCTTCAAACGACCCACTCTAAACGACACTAGTCGTTACAAAACAACTAGTAGAAAAGACACGTCGGGACACTTGCTGAGCCAAATAGAAATTACACGCGCGCCGCCGCGCATGTGCAGTATGTAATGACAACTTGAGTTTCTTATGATGGCTGTCTTCTTTACTTTATGCGACAAATATACATTTTCCACAGCTTTAGTTTCTGTGTTTATTTAGTTTCTAAAAATCATGTATTTTTATTTAAGTACTTTGCGAGTAAGTGTGTTATATTTCCTTAATTTCGCTCCATACAGATCTAGGATCAGTTACTGTTTTGTCTGTTTTATATTGTTTTAGTGCTGATTCTTTGGTGACATCATGAGATGTGGAACATTACAAAATAACTGTTTATTTATTTTTTTATTATTTACTGGACATTTGTAAATATGATATTATTTTGATATTATTTTGACCAGTGTTGCAGGATAAAAGTGCGCCACATTTGTTTCAAGGCATCAAATGTTTGTCTCTAAAATTAAGCAAATAAAAGTTAATTTAAACAAATAAATATTAACGTCCACGCATTTATTTATTTTGTAGTAACATTAGCTATGTTGGTCATCAACTAACAAACCCATTCACGCCACGGTGAAAAAAAAAACAGCGTTTCGTGTACCCGATCAAGACCTACTGACTTTTCACTGTAAATATGCCACTTTGATATTTATAATAAAGAAAACAAAGGAATACTGGACGTTTGGAACGAGAATGTTGAAGGCTGATCGGCACCGAGAGCGTTTATTTTCACAACAACAACAACAACAACCACAATACCGTGCGAGGTAGCGCGCATGCGCACAACACTACCCAACCAGTGTCGACCCCAGCCATCTATTATGCTTCTTCGCAATAAAAGCTACCCGAAAATCTGCAAGGAAAACGCAACCGGAGCTGCTTGGAGTGAAAGTAATAAAGTATAACATATATATTTACGATTAGTGCATTCCGATCGAAGTTTATATTCAGTTTAGGTGATGTATATTGGTGTTTTGGGGGGAAAACACAGCTGAATGTGGCTAGCAGGATCTCCTCTGACAGAGTGAAGCTGATGAGCGGCGCTTTGCAACAATGTAACAAAACCCTCTTTCACGCGCAGCCGTTTCGATCTGTAAACGTAGAGCTCGTTGTAATTGTTTGCGCTGTTTTTTTTCGTTGTATCAAGTGTATAAATAGGACTGGTGGATGAATTGTGGGATGATTTCAAATTAGCCCGCTGAGTAGCTAGCTGGCTGAACGGCATGCACACACAATGGTTGTGTTAAAGACATGGTGGGGCTCGATCCTCGGCATTCCTCACTCGATGCCCTGTCTCTCCCGTGCCCGCCATCTTTTCAAGAACTTATACACACACGCCTGATGCAGTTACTTTAACGCGCGATTGCAAAATGTATTTCCAGTCAAGTTTACAGTTCGAGCTCCGTTTAAATGCGCGCAGGGGCGCAATTTGCTAGCTGATGTTTTGGTTTAATTCTGACTAAACTTGCGATTTTTCATGGCCTCTCATGGGCACGCGAATTTTGTATCGTTTTGTTGGTGTTTAAAACTATGAAGTGGTTCAAATGAAAAGCACAAGTTTAGAAAAAAGAAAAAAAAATCAGCTTTTTCCTGGTTTCTAGTCATTCATTCATGTGAAACCACCGATACTGAAATTCAAACTTATAGCTAATTTACTGGTGAAAATGCATATAGTTTAAAGCTATGCATCAAATAACCTGAAAATGATTTTATAAAATCAATTTGGTGTACATGAATTATTATATTAATGCAGCTATAGAAAATAACAGTTATTAAAAAATACTGTTTGTTTACAACATGCATGTACACTTCCACTATGATTGTGGTCTTGATATAGTTTTAAATTGGATTATTTATACATTTTTGGCTCTGTGCTACACAGTGAAATACATATGTGCAAATAGCAATATAATGTAAAAAAAATAAAAATCATGGTGTAAACTGGTATAATTTCTGCAATTATATTTCTAATGATGCTATATACACACCATATAGATATACACACCATATAGATAAATAGGTAATTTATTTTCATAGCTGTATTTTCTTCAATGAGTTATTTCTCTACGTTTACTGGCAGCGTGCTGACACTCAGGTCCTGAGATGGGATGTGTGTGTGGAGGTGGGACTAAGGAGCAGCAAGAGGATCATTGAAGCTGAACTAAGAGACGTACAGACGTCATTCAAGCAACTTCTTTCCCTTAACTGATCAGTATGTCGGTAGTCACATCCCCTGCCCAGGTGCCTCCAGCCATTGTAAACCCTCCCCCACCTGAGGTCACGAACCCTGGGAAGCCTGGCCGAAAAACCAACCAGCTACAGTATATGCAGAATGTGGTTGTGAAGACTCTGTGGAAGCATCAGTTTGCATGGCCCTTTTACACACCTGTGGATGCTATCAAGTTGAATCTGCCAGTGAGTAATTTTGTTGCTTTTTTATATCATTTACACACATACACATTAGTGCTGTCAAATGGAATAATCAATTCTAAAATAAAAGTTTGTTTATAATATATATATATATATTTATATATAATATATTTCTGTGTGTGTTCATTTTTGTATATGATATATGCATGCACACATACACACATGCATAGATGTGTATGTATATATATATATTAATATATTATATAAACACAAACTTTTATTTTAGTGTATGTATATATATATATATATATATATATATATATATGGTGCTCAATTATTAATAATTGTTCTTATTTTCAGTGTTGAAAATGTTTTTGTGGAAACAGATATTTTTTTCAGAATTCTTTGATGAATAGAATGTTCAATGAACACCCTTTATTTGAAATATAAATCTTTTGACTAAAATTAAAAATGTCACTTTTGATTTTTGCATCCTTTCTGAATAAAAGTAGCTTCAGCCTTTTGAATGGTGTATCACCATTTCCAGAAAAAATATTTAGCACCTTTGCCATCACAGGAATTTATTACATTTTAAAATATATTAAAATAGAAAAGTTTTGTTAATATTTTGAAAGATGTGTTTATATAGTGATAATAATATTTCACAATGTTTTTGTTTTTTCCCCAAAATAAATGCAGCCATGGTGATACTTATTTAAAAAATAAAATAAAATTATAATAATAATAATGTTAATTATTCCAAACTTTTGACCTGTAGTGTAGTGTGTTATAAGTTGAATTAGGGATGACTAGTGTAATTTTTGCACCTCTAGTGTTACCAAACGGCATTGCAAAAATAGTGACAATCTGCTATTGGTCAGGCAAGCAGAGAGTCTCTAACTCATGCAGTTGATTGAGTCAGCGTTTTTGTGTTGGGATTATCAAACAATGTGTAGAGTGGGAAATAAACTATAAATGACTTGCTTATGGCTATAGACAGTGTTTTAAAATCCATTTTCACCTTTAAATGTTTTTTTCTCCCTACCTAGTGCATTACACCTTGTCTAATTTATTATTTCGGTCAAATAGGACTACAATAAAGTTATTAAGAATCCAATGGACATGGGAACCATAAAGAAGCGACTTGAGAATAATTACTATTGGACTGCTGGCGAATGCATGCAGGACTTTAACACTATGTTCACAAACTGTTACATCTATAACAAGGTAGATCCAAGTCCTTAATATTTATTTATATTTTATAATACAAAAAAATATATATTATTATATATTTTATAATAATATACTTTATACCAATACCAATGTGTGATTTAAATGAATTTCCCTTGAATTATTGTCCCAGCCCACAGATGACATTGTTCTCATGGCTCAAGCCTTGGAAAAGATTTTCCTCCAAAAGGTAGCTCAGATGCCCCAGGAGGAGGTGGAACTTTTACCCCCACCACCGAAGGGTAAAGCACGGAAACCTGGAGCACCCCCTGGTTCAGGTACCTGACTGGATGCCACACATAATGAACCTTTGAAGATACCAATGACATTTGGCTTGGAGGAGGTTTTTCAGCTGACCTTGTCATTATTACATCCATACAGAAAACCAACCATCAATAGCACTGACTACTGGTTCTCCATCCTCCTCATGTCCGAGCTCCCCTCCTCAGCTGGCTCAAACTCCTGTAATAGCTGCGACTCCAGTCTCGACCATCACCTCCAATGTTCAAGCTGTGCCCCCTGCGACGCCCCCTCCCATGATTCCAACCGCACAGCCTGTTCTCAAAGTAAGACCAGTTAAAATGATGTCATGTTCATTGTCATTTGTGCCCAGGAAAAAAAAAATTAATAGCTTTTGTTGTAGGGATGGATCAGTATAGTTGACTAACTAAGTCAACTAACTACTGGCATCTATCTATCCATCTATCATCTATCTATCTGTCTGTCAGTGTCTATTTATCTTAATTTTTTTCTTTATTATATTTTGTTCAGATGGTTTTTTTTAGCTTTCCATATTTTTAGCAGCTGGGCTTTAAAGGGGATGAATTTAGAGATGCAACTTCTCTGAGAGGTCTTTAGTTTTTTGACAGAATGCTATGCTTTAGTTTGTTAACAGTCTATAAGTAGCTGAAAGATTGTCAACACACTAAAACGTTTTCTGAGATTCATCTCCTAAAGCACTGTTTCAGCCATCAAAACTGCTTTCGTAACAGATTTTCTGCTTTCAGCAATACATTTCAAATCACCTGCTGTGAGTAATGTTCCCATTATTATGCATAATCTGTTGTTTGTGAGGGCTATAATTGTTGGCGCAATAAAATGATGTGTAGTCTATTTATTTGTTATCTCTCATTTATCCTGTTGAAGGATGAATTTAGTGTCTGTATATCTAAAAAAAAAAAAAAAACGTGAGCCTGAACTAGCCTAATTATTAAAGGCTTCCTTTAGTCTAGTCCATCACACACACCACTGATCAGTCATTTTGCACATTAGGGTTGTGCCGAAGCCGAATACCTTATACGGAAAGGCACGGAAAATGAATAACGCATTTTACAGAGCCCCTAAATAAAGGGACATGGTTAGGCTTGCTTGGGTTAGTCGGTGTTACACGGTGTTCGTATATCTTACATATGACAAATATCTTACCTTGTAAAATGTGTGGTCAGTACCAGAGCTGTGAAACGATTAATCACGATTAATCGCATCCAAAATAAAAGATTGTGTTTACATAATATATGTGTGTGTACTGTGTATAATTATTTTGTATATATAAATACACACATATGCATGTATATATTTAAGAAATATTTGCATTTATATACTGTATACATATATTTATATATAATTTATATTATATAAAAATATTAGTATTTTTATTTAAATAACACATTTTTCTTAAATATATCCATGCATGTGTGTGTGTATATATACAAAATAATTATACACAGTACACACACATATATTATGTAAACACAAACTTTTATTTTGGATGCGATTAATCGTGATTAATCGTTTCACATCCCTTCCGCCGTTCCCTATACACGGAGTACGCATGATTGCGAATTTGAAAGTGAGAAGCGGGCGTGTATTCAAAAGCGGTTTCAATACCCTTCACATTGATAGCAAATTATATACAATATAATTACACAACTGTATAGGCTAATTGCGAGAGAACGCAAAAGCATTGAGATATATTTTTCCTTCCATCTCATATTTGTTCCATAACCATGTCCCTTTTAGGGGCTTCATGTAATGTGTCTTTTTCTTTCTGAATAAGGTATTTAGCATCAGGCACATCCCTGTATTAGTAGTGTTCTAACACACATGCTGATCTAATTTTCCTCAGAAGAAAGGGGTGAAGCGGAAAGCGGACACGACCACACCCACAACCTGCGCGATCACTGCCAGCAGAAGTGAGTCGCCCACTGCGATGTTAGAGTCCAAACTCAGTAAAGTCATTTCCAGACGAGAGAGCACAGGTCGACCCATCAAACCTCCCAAAAAAGACCTGGAGGATGGGGATGTCCAACAGCAAGGGAACAAGAAAAGCAAACTCAACGATCATCTCAAATACTGTGACACTATCCTTAAAGAGATGCTTTCCAAGAAACATGCGGCCTACGCCTGGCCCTTCTACAAGCCTGTAGATGCAGAGGCCCTGGAGCTGCATGACTATCATGAAATCATCAAGCAACCAATGGACCTCAGCTCTGTCAAAGTATGGCCTAAAATTACACCTTGGCAAAGTTATTAAAGGATAGCATAGTAAATATTCAAAAGAAATAGATTTTTTTATATAAATCGTTTAAATAAATAAAAAAACGTGTGTGTATATATATATATATATATATATATATATATATATATACACACACACATATACAGGTCTGTGCAAAAGTCTTAGGCACGCTTGTATTTTTGCCCCAAAGAAATGGTTTTAAGCCAGTTATTTATATATTTTGCTGTAGTGTTTCTGGAAATATCAGTTTACATTTAAAAAAATGTCCATTAATTGTAATAATCCAGTGAGATTTTTGTACGCACAAGGAGTCTGACAACAGCCGGTGCTCCCCACGGAGATCTGATCTCACCATCATCGAGTCTGTCTGGGATTACATGAAGAAACAGTAAAAACTGAGACAGACTAAATCCAGAAGAACTGCGGCAACCTCTCCAAGACACTTGAAGAAACTGACCTGCAAAGCTCCCTGTAAAACTATGTGTGACTGTACCGACAAAAGCTGTTTTAAACGCAACGGGTGGTCACACCAAATATTGATTTAATTTAGTAAATACAAGTTAATTGATAAATAACATTTATTTATGACATTATTTTTGAAAGCATCCTCACTTTACAGCATTTTTACACAAGTGCCTAAAACTTTTGACAGTACTGTAGTTTTGGATATAGGTTTCTTCAAGCGTCTTAGAGATATTGTTCTTCTGGATTTAGTCTCTCAGTTTTTTCTGTTTCTTCGTGTAATCCCAGATGGTGAGATCAGATCTCCGTGTGAAGCACCGGCTGTTGTCAGACTTCTTGTGTATACAAAAATGTCATTGGATTATTACAATTAATGGAAAAATGAATGTTTGGAAATGTAAACTGATATTTCCCACTGACACACTACAGCAAAAGATACAAATAAATGGTTTAAAACCTTTTTTGGGGGGGGGGGGGGGGGGGTGAAAATTCTAGCGTGCCTAAGACTTTAGCACAGTACTATATAAAACTTCAGTTTTTATTCCCTTTTTTACATTTTTTAAGCCAAACTTTATCTCTTGCAACTTGTCTTTTCCAGAAAAAGATGGACAGTCGAGAATACCAAGACGCCCAAAGTTTCGCAGCAGATATTCGGTTAATGTTCTCAAATTGTTACAAATACAACCCGCCTGATCACGAGGTCGTTGCCATGGCAAGAAAACTCCAGGTGCGGCGGTTAAAAAAAAAAGCCATTGTAACTCATAATGTGCTTTCGGATCTCACCAATCATATTTGTCCATGACCTACAGGATGTGTTTGAGATGAAATTCGCTAAGATGCCCGATGAACCGGCAGAGCCGTCTTCGCCCAGTGCGGTGTCGGCCACGGCTGTGGTGAGCAAGAGCACCGGCAGCAGCGAAAGCAGCGCAGACTCTTCCAGCTCCAGCTCCGACTCGGAGGAGGAACGGGCCACTCGGCTGGCTGAGCTGCAGGAACAGGTGAGTGGAAAACAGGTGGGTGTCACCACTTGAGGACCAAGATCCAAACCAAGGGTGGAGAGACAGGCAGAGGCCACAGCCACACTCCCCCTCACATTCACCACCTCCTCCTCCTCCTCAGTCTGACTGCTTGTGTTAGTCATTTGGATTTAATTTTTTCTTTTTTTTTTCTTAATGTCTCTTGTTTTCATAATGTTTTGGAAACGAGTGCCCATTCTCACCCTGGACTGAACGTTTAACCCTCTACCGCCTCTGCAGTTTGTGTTGGCATCTTGGTATACATTGGCTTGCATGCAGTAAAAGTTCAGATGACAGTTTTTAATTTGGCTGTCTCTCAGTGTTAAACATATTGGTGTCGATTATAGTTACTCTGCTCTCATCATGACACAGTCTGTTGTTAAAATACATTTTTGAGAATGACTATTTTGTCCCTTGATTTCACTTTGGCTTTTTTACCAGCGATTCACTGTGGAGCACCCCAATGGTAACAGGTCGGGGACAAAAAACGGGTGTGCCAAACGTTTTCAGGTGAATGATATTTTTACTTCCCGGTCCCCCACCCCACTAACTCCTCCATTTTTCGTAGCTTCTTCTTAAGTGAGCGGTAGAGGGTTAAGGTGGTGCTTTATGGGGTGTATTTGAGCTGGGCATCTTTAAGTGAGCTTGCTTTGACACTCTCAGCTAGTCTTTTGGCTCTGTTTCCCTCTCTGCTCTGCGAATGACATTGATTGGCATGTTTATCAGTGAGAATCCAAATTCTTTGCTGGGATGTGGTCTCCGGTGCTTCCAAATCATCGTGGTGAAGTCTTTTTGATTGTTTAAAGGTGGTTTAAAGTCATGATGAAACTGTAGAGAGAGAGATTGAAGAAAAATGTAGGACGGGTACTTGATTCTATCACTCAGTTGTTTATTGGATGGAGGCAGATCTGAATGCGAGCTTGCAGTCGGTTGTAAGAAAGGGGCGGGGATTAAATGTTTGGTGAAGTCCAGCATATGCATCAGAGACAAGCCCGTCGTTTCACCGGAAAATCGAGTTATGATATTTTAATTAAGAATTATGAGTTTAAAAAATGAAACCTATAAACAGATGAATAACATCAATAACAGGCATTTAGAAAATGGGTTGAAATTTCATTTCATACCTATTTAAACATGTGGGTTTGTAACTGGACAACTAAATGATGATGGATAGTGTCTTTGTAAAAATGTTCGATTAGTGTGCTGTAGCATTTGAATATTTGGAATTTAAAGTAGTTAAAAGTGTTTATGTCCATTTTGTTTGCGAAGAATTCCAAAGTAAACAAGACATTTCTGGGCATAGCATTTGTTTCAAAATAAGAGTCCTCCGCAAACAGCTATTTTCTGGGGAGAGCGTTTCCATGAAAATGGGAGATATATAGGTGACAAATGTCATTCATTATCCTTCAAACTCTTCCCATCACCAGTCCCATCATCTGTCCTGCACAGCTAAGATCCTAGTTAGCGTCGATGCAGCATGCCCCATCCCCCTGCTTGCTAACCATTCCCTCCACCTTCCTCCTCAGCTGAAGGCTGTTCATGAACAGCTAGCCGCTCTGTCACAGGGTCCTGTGAGCAAACCAAAGAAAAAGAAAGAGAAGAAGGAAAAAGAGAAGAAGAAGAAAGACAAAGAAAAGGATAAAGAGAAAAACAAGGTCAAGGTGGAAGATGACAAAAAGGCCAAGTCCACACAACCGAATAAGCAAACTCAGCAGAAAAAGACCTCTGCACGGAAACCCAACAGCACATCAACTACAAGGTTAGCTGGTTTTGTTGGGATCTTTGGATTTGATTAAAATGTATGACCTTGTGGAATTTATTTTACATAATATTATCCCTTTTAAAATATCTAAAAACTATGGAAACCTGTTCCACCTCAGATAAAAAAAAAAATTTGGATTGTGTTGTGACTTTACTTTCCATAAGGGGGACATTACACCAATTTTTTAAATATTTTTTCTCATGCTCAATCTGGGCTGCATTTATGTATTAAAAATACAGTAAAAACAATAATATTGTGAAATACTATTACAATTTTAAATAGCCGTTTTCAGCATCATTATACCAGTCTTCAGTGTCACATGATCCTTCAGAAATCATTCTAATAGGATTGTTTGGTCTCAAGAAACATTTCTTGGCACATAAATGTGGAAAAAAGTTACTGCTTAATATTTTTGTGGAAACTTTGATAATTTTTTTCACTATTCCTTAATGAATAGAAAGTGTATTTCTTCTTTAAAGTTCATCTCACGCTTACATTTTTTTGTTCTGAGGCAGAAACAGGGTTCCATAAAAAACTGAAGATCCACAATACCTTTGGCAAACACTTGTTAATAGGCTAAGCAGTCATGATTATCAATATTAACCGATAATCAACTGATGATATCGGCTGATTATTTGGCCTGCTTTTATATGTGGATAAATACCAGTTTTAAGTTGTTTAAAGTTATAATATTACGATAAGTGTAAATCAACACTGCAATAACACACAATGTGTCATTTATTGGTCGTAGTGGTAAAGTGAGCTAACTTTCAATCTCAGTATGCCAGTTCAGTCTTGTGCATTCGTGCAAACTACACCTCCAATCCACAGGCAACCGAAAAAGGGGGGCAAACCTGGTGCAGCAAACTATGAGTCTGACGAGGAGGAGTCTCTTCCCATGTCTTATGATGAGAAGCGGCAACTTAGCCTGGATATCAATCGGTTGCCGGGTGAGAAACTGGGCCGCGTGGTCCACATCATCCAGTCACGTGAGCCGTCACTGCGAGACTCCAACCCAGACGAGATCGAGATCGACTTTGAAACGCTCAAGCCTTCCACGTTGCGTGAGCTCGAACGATACGTCAAGTCCTGTTTACAGAAAAAGCAGCGCAAACCTTTACGTAAGTGCAACCTCTTTTCTTCCTCAGCAGATTTGTTGCTAGGTATAGGCTTACTTCAGTGTTTTATAGACAAGCATCTCTCTTTTCTTGCCTGGTCCGTCTGCTCTAAAAGCTGAAATGGGCTGTGCTATTTCCTCCTTTGAGCTGGGAGCACTCACCTTCTCCAATGTGTTGCATGACTTTTGGTGGATTGCCTTACATGTGCTTTCTCTGGTATTAATACCCTCAAGTGAAGCTTCAATGGTTTAAAGAGTACATCAGTATACAGTAGAGAATATTTGATCAGACCATGAATTTCCTAATTGTACAGAGTGTACATGTAATTATTGTGCACACTGCAGCACTCATACTTCACAATGGAATATTCTGGGTTCATTACAAGTTAAGCTCAATCCTCAGCATTTGTGGCATAACATTGATTACCAATAAGTAATTTCCACTTTAAAAAAAAAAAAAAGCACAAACAATGGAAGTGAATTGAGTCAATCCATAACCTTTAAACCTCCATAACCTCACTATTTCAACGGAGTGCAACAGTACCTGCTCACATTTTTAGTGCTCTTGGTTCCGGAAGTATTTTCTCTATTTATATTTCCTATAGGGTCTTTTGTTAAAGTTTTAAGCCAAACCAACCAGCTATTAGGTGAACTGCAACATTACAAACTTTGATTTGAACCAAAAAAGTATAATGAAAATCAGACCAGAAGTTTAAGGTAAAAACTACAATGCCATGATTCAAAATACCATTGCTAAAACCATGTTAATCGGCCACACTTATTACACCTATTGCAAAATTAGCATGTACGGATATACAATTTTAAGTAGTTTGAAAGTGTAGGGAGACTGACTCTAATGCGTCATTCACGTTGCTTCATAGGAAAATGAAGGGGTAGGCAAACATAAGCCTCGGCTTCTGCCTACTCCTTTTTTTTTTTGGTTATTTCATTGTAAATTTACCTGAAAAATAAAATAAAATCAATCAAAATAAAAAATTATTTTAGCGCGATTTTCTTATCATGGTTCTCTGATTGGTGGTGATTTCTTTGCAGAATTATGGGAAATGTTAGCCTGACTTCGTCATACTCATATTCTAGTCAGAATGTGAGTCTGATACTGCTCCATAGGGCTTTGATTATGAGGCGTGTCTTAACCGAACCAGAAAAAAAAAACTACAACCAATCTGAGCAACGCAGTAAGTGACGTATGTTGAGCTACGCATAGTTGTCAACAGAACGCACGCTGGAAGTAGTAGTAAAATAATCTGAAAATGAGTGTTGCTTTTTTTACTTGGTGCTCCATGAGTGCGACCAAAGGAGAAACCACAACGACCACAGGGTTTTCATTGCGTCCCAACTTCTTAGCGGCCATCGGAGCCAGATGATAAATTGAACTTTTGCCGAATCCCGCAGGAAGGACGGGACATCTTTCCGATCGACAAATGCCTTTATTGCAGTTCTTTGTTTGTCTTTTAAAATTAATGCGCTGTCGATTTCTTTAAAGCTGCAGTCCGTAGCTTTTTTTGGGTTAAAAATTATCCAAAAAACATATTTGAGAAAATACATAACCCAGTCCCTCCAGAAAAACGCGATTATGCGATCGCTGAATTCAATGCATAATCAGCCAAAGTCCGCATATTTATGCGGGGGTCGCATTTTTTCAAATACTCCGCAATTTCGCCGCATAAATTGCTGATTTCCGCGCAAAATATGCGGGGCTTGCATGATTTCATAATCCCCGCATTTTCGTCGCAAAAGTCACATACACTCACCGGCCACTTTATTAGGTACCCCATGCTAGTAACGGGTTGGACCCCCTTTTGCCTTCAGAACTGCCTCAATTCTTCGTGGCATAGATTCAACAAGGTGCTGGAAGCATTCCTCAGGGAGCTTGGTCCATATTGACATGATGGCATCACACAGTTGCCGCAGATTTGTCGGCTGCACATCCATGATGCGAATCTCCCGTTCCACCACATCCCAAAGATGCTCTATTGGGTTGAGATCTGGTGACTGTGGAGGCCATTTTAGTACAGTGAACTCATTGTCATGTTCAAGAAACCAATTTGAAATGATTAGAGCTTTGTGACATGGTGGAAGTAGCCATCAGAGGATGGGTACATGGTGGCCATAAAGGGATGGACATGGTCAGAAACAATGCTCAGGTAGGCCGTGGCATTTAAACGATGCCCAATTGGCACTAAGGGGCCTAAAGTGTGCCAGGAAAACATCCCCCACACCATTACACCACCACCACCAGCCTGCACAGTGGTAACAAGGCATGATGGTTCCATGTTCTCATTCTGTTTACGCCAAATTCTGACTCTAACATCTGAATTTCTCAACAGAAATCGAGACTCATCAGACCAGGCAACATTTTTCCAGTCTTCAACTGTTCAATTTTGGTGAGCTCTTGCAAAATGTAGCCTCTTTTTCCTATTTGTAGTGGAGATGAGTGGTACCCGGTGGAGTCTTCTGCTGTTGTAGCCCATCCGCCTCAAGGTTGTGCGTGTTGTGGCTTCACAAATGCTTTGCTGCATACCTCGGTTGTAACGAGTGGTTATTTCAGTCACTGTTGCCCTTCTATCAGCTCGAACCAGTCTGGCCATTCTCCTCTGACCTCTGGCATCAACAAGGCATTTCCGCCAACAGAACTGCCGCTCACTGGATGTTTTTTCTTTTTCGGACCATTCTCTGTAAACCCTAGAGATGGTTGTGCGTGAAAATCCCAGTAGATTAGCAGTTTCTGAAATACTCAGACCAGCCCTTCTGGCACCAACAATCATGCCACGTTCAAAGTCACTCAAATCACCTTTCTTCCCCATACTGATGCTCGGTTTGAACTGCAGGAGATTGTCTTGACCATGTCTACATGCCTAAATGCACTGAGTTGCCGCCATGTGATTGGCTGCTTAGAAATTAAGTGTTAACGAGCAGTTGGACAGGTGTACCTAATAAAGTGGCCGGTGAGTGTATATCTTAGCAGAAAGTTGGAAAATGTTGCGTTTGCTTCACACAAGAGCAGCCGTTTCCCCCTGTTGCCATGGGAATGTTATGAAGTGACGTAATTACGCGACGTGAACATCATTGAAAAGCTGTAAAACAGCACACTTTATTTTTAAATATTTCATTTATTCATTTTTACTGAAGTTGTAGCATATTCCTCTAGTAAAGCTACAGAACTTGTTTGACTCATCAATGTTTTGTAAGTTTGATGTGTTTATTAAGGTCTTGTAACGCGTTGTGTCGGGAAGAAAAATAGGGATAGCTCACAGCTGAAGTTATTGCAGAGGCCAGACAGACTCACGGAGGCGATTGGCATCTCACAACTCGCACTTCATTCCCAAATCGAACTCGTAACTGTCTGTCACACGTTCTAACGTCCACATCGTTACTTAATAAACAAAATAAGATAAAAGAAGTAGCATCAAACAGAAATTACCCGCACACATGGGGTGTTCGAGGCGTATGGCACATACAATATAACACTGCAGACAGTTCAACAGGGAGCGCGCAGCTCTTAAAGGGGCCACACCTTATTTCCACTCGTTACAGTCTGAAATAAAACAAGATGAGAAATTAAATATTTCCAGCACTTTCTGTGATGTAGTATGCTTGCTTATCATAGGAAGAAAGGACTCTTTACATTAAGGTAGGAGCCTAGTGAGAACAGGGTGTTGGGGGAATCACTTTTTTTTCTCTTTTTCATCAAACCGCAGTTTTTGCAAGTTCCCGCAATTTCATTGCAAAAAATTGCATAAATATCCCGCATATTCCATCGCATTTTTAAAGAAAACGGGCCGCGTAATCAAGGATTTTTGCCCGCAACAATCACAAAAAAACTCCGCGTTGTTCTGGAAGGACTGATAACCAGCCAGTGTTCAACGCTATATGCTTGCCTTAGCTCGATTCAAAACGGTAAGCTTGTAATAATGTTTTTAATTCCAGTGGTACTGGTGGATTTCCACGGGAGATTCGAGCATGTCTTTGCGTCATTACGTCACATCTGTACACATAAAGAAGTCTCGGCTAGTAGGCTATATAGCGTGTGAGGATGCTGGAGGTGGAGATTTATAGCCTTTTCTCACAGCACTTGATATAATTAAACTTATCAATTTGATGGCGGATCCAGAAAGGTTCAAACGACGATCACCAGTGACAACAGATTCACATCTGGGGATATTCGGATAAATATCGGAAGGACAATACATGTAGTCACGCAATGCTGACTTTGTTAACATTAGAATTTGAGAACAAAGTATAATTTCAAGGTTTTGCGTGATAAGCGATTTTTAGATTTAATCAGCGCGATTTACTGCAATGTCAGAACCAGAACAAAAGTGGATGTTACTTGTTCAGATGACATTTTCCGGTGAAAATTATTATGTTGGTCATACTTCCAAAAAGAATAATCTGTGATTCTGAATGCCAGTATCGGCACCGCCGCGGTGATTGACAGCTGCGCACTCTCCTCAAACATTGTGTTCAGCTGTGCCGTGTCGAACTACAACTCACGTAAAGTTGATAATTCCGCGATTGACTGCAATTGCAGATTTTGAACCGAGATGGCGACAGAGGAAAAACTGCGGACTGCAGCTTTAACAACTGACGCGATAGCGGAATCTATACATCTCAATTCTCCAGCTGCAGTCAACTTTGAGGGAAACCAGTTCAACCCAAGCACTCTTTGATAAAGTGATGATTACGTAACTGCAGATCTGTCCATCATCGTATAAAGCCCGCCCTGGCAATTTGATTGGCCCGATGATTTCTGAACCGATCATAATTACTCCTCAGTGGATCGAGTCCAGACCGAACTTCCCGACCAAAAAATATTATGGCCGGGGTTCGGGCTGGCATCCAGGCTAGGATAATGTAGTTTTCACCAAGAATACTGCTGTTAGACTATTATTTAAAAAGTAAGTTGAAATAATGCTTCAAAATGCAACTAAAGCTTAGACTATCGATTAAGGGTCGGCGATACACCAGTAGACATGATTAACCAGTTGAAATCTGTCAACGGTATATGTGCGCGCTGTCTGAAATACGCGCACATGAAGCCGCTGCTCATAGAGCACGGTGAATACGTGAGTACTTTCTTTTTCCAGCCTAAACAACGGTTAAATACACACACTTATGTCAAAATGGCCGTCTTTGCTACTAGTGTCCTTGTGAACACAGTCATTTATGTCTTAAGTGAAATGTAAACAGTTGAGAAAGAAAACGCATGTGTAATAGTATATTGGATCCGTGAATATGCTCTTAAAGTGACAGTAGCCTAATAAACCTGCTGTCGTCTGTCATTAATGTTATTCAAACCACAAAAAATAGAATCTCAATGCTTTTGACTGAATCACTTTTGTCTCACTTTAATACGATAAATGTATATTTAATTTACACACAGTGAAGATATGCAGTGTTTTTTAATACATTTGATTACTTTATACAATTGAAATAGACTAGTATTTCTTATTTTTAGTGTTTGAAGTTTTTCAGGTATGTCTATTTATTTGCTCTATTGTAGTCTGTTGTCCTATTGCTTGTAATTATTTTCTTTGTTCTTATTTTATCACTGACTCTTTACTTGTCTTCAGTAAGCTTTTTTTTACGTGAGTGAGTGAGTGAGTGAGTGAGTGAGTGAGTGAGTGAGTGAGTGAGTGAGTGAGTGAGTGAGTGAGTGAGTGAGTGAGTGAGTGAGTGAGTGAGTGAGTGAGTGAGTGAGTGAGTGAGTGAGTGAGTGAGTGAGATTGAAATTGGTAACAAGAATTATGAAATTTCAATGGTATCAAAAATTTGAATGATAATCCCTAAGAACCTGAGTGTTGCACTCTATATTACACCCACAAGACATAAACTGTGCGTGTTAGCATGATTTTAATGTTTTTTAAAAATGCTTACTAACCTAATAACCTGTAAAGTTGCATTCAATTTTACAACTTGGTTACCATGATAAAAATAAACTAAACCTAAAATAAACAAAAAGATTACGAGAACAACTTTTCTTTTAAATCCTCTAAAAATTGTCCCTATTCACTTCTGTTGTTAGAGTTTCAACATAACCTTGATTTTTGTTTGTTTTAAATTCCCCCTGTGGTGAAAATCAAGCCATTTCTGAGTATTTTCTCAGAACAGAACTCAAAACTGCAGTGAACCAAAGACAGTCTCAAAATCGCGGTTTGAAATAGCTGGTGTTTCTGACGTCACAAACTACCTTGTAACCAATCACGTCAACGAGTGGATCTTTGAGCTGGTGTGAGTGAGTGGAGGCAGGGCTAATTTGCATATTCATATAACTAAATGAGTATACTAAATTTAGTATACTAAATGAGGCAAGGGTGTAGAGTTACATTCAAGCTATTTTAAGGCATGAAGATTTTTTTTCAAGGAATTTTTAAAAAAATATTTCATTTTGGTGATCAAAGATAGGTTTTTAAGGGATAAAATTATTGACCACACGGGGACTTTAAGGAAAATGAGGGATGAGTCTAAATAATTTTTATGGTAGTAACCAAATGCTGCTGTTTGGTCTTAACTTGAACCTGATAAGATTCCTTGAACAGAAATTTGACATCATGGAGTTTAAAACCAGCGTAGCAGAGTGCTTTTTGCTGCTTGTAGCCACGGCGGTGGGCTACGAGGGCAACCCGTTACTCACCGGTCACCGCTGTGTGTCTCCTGCAGCGGGCACTGGGAAAAAGAGTGCCAAGTCTAAAGAGGAACTGGTTCAGGAAAAGAAGAAAGAGTTAGAAAAGAGGCTACAGGACGTGAGCGGACAACTGAACAACAACAAGAAACCACCCAAAAAAGGTACCTGTGTGGTAGTGTGCAGATGTGAGCAGACAGGTGACCAAACTGGGTTAGCTGGATTAAGGATGGTAGGATAAGAAAACGGAGATAAGGATAGGCTTTTTGCTTCACTAATTTGACTAACTTGATCGAAGGGCTTCTGTCAGACCTTCATATGTAACGCTATTCACACACTGAAAAGGATTTGCAGGGCTCAACAACAAGGATGGACTGCTGGCCCGTTTTGAACCAATTGACGGGACTGTCTATTGCCCTACTGGGCCGGTGCAATCTTTCTATTTCTTCTGTGAAATTTGCTAGCGAATTCTGCTGGTAACTAACGTAAATGTAACGTTATGGAGCATATTGTATACAAGCTGTTTTATTGATGTCTTTCCGCAGTTGAAACACTGATTGAGAGACGACATTATACATTTCAGTCGTTCTATATCTTTCAACATACCTTCTGATGTTCATTCATGTTTATTCAGTGCTGTAACTAGTGATAAAGAAAGAGGAAGAGATTTTCAGTTCATTTGCGCTTGATCCGTCCTGCTTCTTAAACTGATGCGGCTACAGTGAGTGATCTGTCCTTTATTCTGTGAATTTCATGATAAAATCAACAAAATTTGAATGTTGAGACTTCGTTTCATATTAAAAGTAAAGAAAGGAAAAGCTTATTTTGCAATTATTGGATGGCAGGTGCGCTACAAATCTATAGTGGAGTTAAAATCGAGAAATCTATATTGTCAACCCAGCCCTAGAGTCCTCACAGCTGACATGTTTAACTTTTGTAGGCTATCCACATTTTGTAGACGCTTAACTGTGAAAATGCGCCATTGGAAAAGCACTAATTAAACATCACTTTGTCTTTGATTTCAGCCCTTTCAAAACCATTTCGGCCCTAAACTTTTCGGTAGCTGAAATTTTGGTCCATCTATAGTTTTTGACTTTTAATATTCTTGGTAGATTCAGTAACATTGTGTTTTAGTTTTTTTGACCCACAAATGCCATAATTTTCCTTTCTTGGAATTCCTGTCTGGTTATAATAACTGTTTATACACTACCGTTTGTACCATTTTGAGGTCAGTAAGAATTTGTTTTATTAATTTTGTTCAGCAAGGGTGGATTAAATTGATCAACACTGGCAATAAAGACATTACTTGTTAAAATTTTTTTTTACCGTATTTTCCGCACTATAAGGCGCACCGGATTATAAGGCGCACCTTCAATGAATTACCTATTTTAGAACATTTTTCATATATAGGGCGCACCGGATTATAAGGCGCACCTTCAATGAATGACCTATTTTAGAACATTTTTCATATATAGGGCGCACCGGATTATAAGGCGCATAAGATACTGCAGTCAAACGTTTGACTGGGTTTGCGTTATGCATCCACTAGATGTGCTAAAGGGAATGTAGCGAGTGCGCGGCGCAGGAGGCGAGGCGTTTATTAGTAAGCGTGAGCGCACTGGGGCGAGCACGTAACTTACATTCGCAGCCTGACTCATGAGTATTCATGTGCGGCGGCTCGCTGACAGCAACAGCTGGCTGTTTTGAATGAGACGACCCGGTTACTGTGAACGGGGAGCGCTTTATGAACATACTGTGACGCGCAAGCAGCGCCGGGGACAGTGTGTCTGTTCGTGTGTCTGTTAGTAAGAGTGAGCACTCGTGAGCGGGCACGTGACTTACACACAACCTTTACGAGGTTGAACTGGCCGTGAGACAATTTAATTGGCGAATTTAATAACGTGGAGCGTTATTAACCAATTGATCCAATTAACCAATTGATCCATATATAAGGCGCTCTGGATTATAAGGCGCACTGTCGTTTTTTGAGAAAATTAAAGGCTTTTAAGTGCGCCTTATAGTGCGGAAAATACGGTAAATGTTCTTTTGAACTTTCTATTCATAAAAAAAAATGTATTGAGGTTTCCAAAAAATATTAACTGTCTGTTTTCAACAATAAGAAAATAATAAGTTTTGAGCAAATCAGCAGATTAGAATGATTTCTGAAAGATCATGTGACACTGAAGACTAGAGTAATGATGCTGAAAATTCAGCTTTGCCTTCACAGGAATATATTACATTTTAAAATACAGTAGTCAACATTTGAAGTGGATCAAAACCTTTCATCAAAGTTATACATGAATTTTGAACAATACCCGTTCTTGTCTTAGGACAACATTGATGAAAGTTTTTGATCCACTTCAAATGTTGACTACTGTATATTAATTAATAGAAAACTCTTATTTTAAAGTATAGCTAAATTTCACTTTTACTGTTTTACTGTATTTTTGATTAATGCAACCTTGGTGAACATAAAAGACTAAAATCTTACTGTCCCCGAAAAACACTCACTATCTGTCTATATAAACTGTAGTTTTTAAAGATAGTTTTTGTATTTTATTAAATCTTTATTAATAAATATAAAATTATAAATTAATTAAAATTAACTTCTCATTTTTGTGTTAGTGCCAGTAAAAGTCTAGACAGGGCAATTCCAAATCTTGATCTACTGACAGAAAAGAAAAGAAAAAATCCTTGCTGTTGAGCCCTGATTTGGACAAAGAGCAAAATCTGCTTAGAGAATCTAATAACTGATGAATATGGTTGTGTATGTGCTGCAACTAACTGACTTCACTTGATATCAGCTGCTTTGGTGGGCACGCAATATATTCTGTCCTTTCGAGATCAGATCTTTGCTTTCTTTGTGCATGTCTCTGCTTTATTGTAATACACAGCTGCAGGTGTGGGTAAGGGCGTGCAAGAAAACAATATAGGGTCTTAAAGGGATAGTTCACCCAAAAATGAAAAGTACCCCATGATTTACTCACCCTCAAGCCATCCTAGGTGTATATGACATTCTTCTTTCAGACGAATACAATCGGAGTAATATTAAAACATGTCCTGGCTCTTCCGGTTTCTGTTTTGAAGTCCATCAAAGTGCATCCATCCATGATAAAAGTGCTCCACACGGCTCTGCGGGGGGTAATAAAGACCTTCTGAAGCGAAGCTCATGTAAGAAAAATATCCATATTTAAAACTTTATCGACTAAAATAACTAGCTTCCGGCAGACGGCGATACGCATCGATTTACGCCAAAATAGTAACACTTGACCTGACGCACAACATAATGACGAATGCGGAAGCGCAGAGGATAGAGCAAAACAAAACACCAGTCATGAATTAGAAGTCTACAACGAAAAATTTTAAAGAGAAATGTCGGAGGAGCTTGAGTTTGTTGCCCAGCCCTGTTTGTTTGAACCGTGAGAGGCGTCTAAACTTACGCTACTCTTACATTCTACGTCATACATAGTCAAGTGTAACTCTTTTGGTGTAAATCGACTTGAGTAGGCCGTCTGCCTAGTTATTTTAGTCGATAAAGTTTTAAATATGGATATTTTTCTTACACGAACGCTTCGCTTCAGAAGGTCTTTATTAACCCCCGCAGAGCCGTCTGGAGCACTTTTATGGTGGATGGATGCACTTTGATGGACTTCAAAACAGAAACGGCCATTTACTGCCATTATAAAGCTTGGAAGAGCCAGGACATTTTTTAAATATAACTCCGATTGTATTCGTCTGAAAGAAGAATGTCATATACACCTAGGATGGCTTGAGGGTGAGTAAATCATGGGTTAATTTTCATTTTTGGGTGAACTATCCCTTTAACGGAAATGAATTGTCAAAAATATGTACATTCAGTGTTTGTTTTTGTCACGCATATTGAACATGCAATCACTTTTCTTCCCTGTTCCCAGCAGAAAAGGCGGGGTCAGCGCAGGGGGGCGGGCCATCTCGGCTGAGTGGCAGCAGTAGTTCTTCGGATTCGGGAAGCAGCAGCTCCAGCGGCTCCAGCTCCGAGAGCAGTGACTCAGACTGAACTCCAATTCGACACGTCGCATACTTCAACCTCCTCTATTTTCTAATGAGTAGTGTGTGTTGTCATGATAGTATCTCTCTGAAGGCCCATTTTATAAAGAGCTAGATGCTTTGCAGATGGCAGAGGATATTTTAAAAATAGTTTGTAGGATGCTCTTGGCTCAGACAAAGAGGAGAGTTGGAATAGTTCAAGCAGTTTTAAGGTTCTCGCTGGCCCTCAAAGGGAAATGCCTGGTATCACCAGAGGAAAAAAAAGACAAAAAAAAAAAGATATTTTTTTGAAAATATGTCAGTTGTGGAGGTGAAACGGTTGTGCGTGTCCGTTGTTTTTTTAGGTTGCTGCTCATTAGATCCATACTGAAAACGTGCGTTAGTGGAAAAACTGACAAATGCCTGGCTGCATTTTACTGATCGAGTAGCTACACAATGTCTCAAAATCTGAAGGAAAATTTCATTTTTTCTGCTCTCTCACTCTGGTGTGGTTCTGTCATGTTGGCGTGACATTTCAACTCATTCCGCATTTATTTGACTGACTATGATAATGCTCTTCATTGTTAACATTTTTAAGAGACTATTTATTTTTTTTATCCAAAAAGGCACAAAGTTATGCGTGTTTTCGACATTCGGTCTTTACAGAAATGTTTCCAGTTGACCAGAATTTGGCTCAACATAATTCACTAGAACTCTAGACAGCATCCCGCGACTCTGGTGTCAGTATCGTTATTAAACCTTCATTTTCAGAGGCTTCGCAGTCACTTTGGCAATTTCAACACTGTACATTTTCTCTTCGGGTGCTCTCAGCTCAATATTTGATGTAGAATTACGTGTCTGGATTTTTTGTTTGTTTGTTTTTAATCTATATCATACGCTCATTTGTTTGTTTGTTTTATATTTGGATTGTCTTCTGTACTTTTTTTTTATACTATTGATATGTAGGTGCTCTGAGTATCTCTTATCCTACTTTCTATCTGATATGCCTCATCTTTACCAAGTCCACTCATAGGACAATCAAAGTTGTGATTAAGTTCAGTATATATGAAAATGGAGGTAATGGCAAAATGCATTCAGATGTTAAAAAACACACCCACAAGGCTGCAGATTGGAATGAATCAGCCTCTCTGAAACCAAGTGAATTCTAGCTCTCTTGGACAAGTAGACACTTAGGGGAGACTTAGACTTGTAAAGAAAAAGAGGGAAGCATTTAAAGACAAAGTTGGACAGTTATCTTTGAGAAGACTTACAAGCAGCAGTGCTAGGTTTAATTTCAGAAGGATGTGTGTTTGACAATAGTTATTATTAGTTGAAAGTATTACAACTAATGTATGTTCTCAATTTTAATAACTATTATTTTACCTTTTTGTTTTGTTTTTCTCAAATGGTGTATTGAATGCTTTCAATGGTACCTAGACACTTCTTGCCATGTATCCAGAATAGTTTGGAAATGGACCATGACTGATAATCTTTATAAAAGAAAATATGAATGTATTAGAGGTTATTTTCTCATTTTCTTTTTGTGGCTGCAGTAATGCCACTCATTCACTGGGTTTGTGGCATTGACAATGATTCATTTCATTTAACAGCCTTGAATTGAACTCTGAACCCCTTAAAATCATTGGATGTGCTCTTTTTGCCTTAAGTTTAGTTGGCACACTAAAATAAAGTAAAATGAGTCCGATATAACCGATTAAGTTGAAGCCAATGTGTATAGTGGTTTTTTTTTTGTTTTGTTTTTATCAGCATCAAACAATTGTGATGTAAAGTGACTTCCTGGGTTTCCTTCTTATATGTAGGATGCTTTCAATTATGTTTTGATTTTATTCATTATACCACTGTAATGCATTACATGTTCCTTGTGACTATAACCTACCTTGTCTCTAAAATAATTTCTGTTACAGCTCCTCTTCCTCAATTCCTCCAGCAGAGCCCAGTAAATAAAACTGGGGTTCATGTTACTGAAAATGATGCAGACAGAGATATAAAGATACAAAGGATATATAATTACAGATATAAATGTATATTCACTACTTATTCGTCAACTCTGTCTTGGGTCTAAGTATTTTAGTTCTTTTTTTATGAGAGAAAGAGAGAGAACATTTGTGTATTGCATGCCAATTTACAGTATATTTCTTAAATTTTTTGAGCAGTTTATAACATGTAAATGTCATTCTTTCGAGTGAAATTTTAAAATTGGTAGCGCTGCATATGTTAAGTTCAGCAAGTGAAAGCAAGTTGACAAGTATGTTTTGGCACAGACTTACCATGGTAATATCTGATGTATAAGCTAATCGGAGATTTGGACACTGAGCCCCTCGTTTTTTGTAAATAAATCACAAAAACCCATAGGAGTGTCTTTTTACTATCTAGATACATTTATTTGAGCGCACTTAATGTTTTTTAGAAGACATTAAAATGCAATAGTAAGAGTAAGATACTGTTTAACAGCGTAATGAGGTTGTTGTCAAAATGTACCAGCAAATCAAGATCTTGATTTCACATTAAAAAATAAATTGGAGGCATCAAAGCTTCATAAAAAGCATGATATAATACAGATAAAGCTAGCATATTTGGTATAGGCCTGGATTCACAGATGGGGCTTATATTAGGCCAGGATTGGGAATTAGTTTCATTAGGACATTTTACCCATAGTTTCACAAATCTTAAGCACAGACTAAAATGCATGTTTGAGCTGTTTTAACTGAAAACAACTTGCACTGACATCTTGAAATAAGTGTGCCATTGAGTGCGTCATTGTCTCAAGATGCACACCAATAATGTTTTTTTTTTTTAAGGCATGTTTATAAAAGCTACTTAAATGTCCTAATTTAACTAAGAACTAATACTGGCTCAATATAAGTCATGTCTTTGAAACCAGGCCTAATGTATTTTATAAACATGCCTTAGAAAAACCATTACTGGTGTGCAAAACAATAGCACAGACATATTTTAAGAAATGCCAGTGCAAGTTACTTTCAGTTAAAACAGCTCAAACATGCATTTTAGTCTGGGACTATCTTAAGCCTTGTATGAAACCATGAAGAGTATTATTAGTGTGCTGTTAAGATTGCTCTGTCACATATAAATCTTAATACATGTAATCACATTTCTTCAATGAATGAAACCAAGTAAAAGTACAGTAGTCAACATTTGAAGTGGATCAAAAAAGTTCATCAAAGTTGTCCCATGAGAACGGGTACTGATTAAAATGTTTGTATTACTTTAATTAAAGGGTTTGATCCACTTCAAATGTTGCCTACTGTATCTAGTTGGGACTTGAAGAACAGCAATTTCTGAAATTTGCTGTTTTTCCCACAGAATAACACTGCTATAAAACATACTTTAACACAACTAAAGGCATGCGCAGTTTGTTAAATTGGGATATCCAATGAGATAAAATACATGTGGTCCCTTTTCTTAAATAGTTTAAATTGAGATTTGGTACTCGTTCGTCTGTAACTAAGCAGGCAATGTTCCCTCATACTGCTATTGCACTTTGCAAATGGTAAAATACTGATGCTTTGTTCATGAAGCACTGTGTAGACTTGCCCACCAGCTTGTCTGAATAATGACATGTGGACAAATTACAGTATTTTTGACTGGACATAAAGATCAAATGTGTGTGTTGTAGTCACAACACCATCACATAACAGCACAAATTCGGGACTGTCCAGTGTTGCCAGAGTCTTTTAGTCTTGTTTTGTCCTGGACCACGACTGCCTGGTTGCCATACTGGCTGTACCACGAGCTCTGACTGCGGCTCAGGTAATTGGTCGGAGGCGCTTTCTCCAGATCCTGCTGTTGCTGTTGCCAAATCAGCAGAGACGTGTCCCTGAACCGGAGCCGAGCGTAGCCCTCCGACATGGCCTTCTCGGCTAAAGGATAGCGCTCCGTCATTGCGAGGAACGATGAAGTGCGGGAAGATGTCTTGTTAAATTTCTCACGAAGGAGGTGATCATCTCTTGGTTTTGATCACGCCGTTAAAAAAATGCTCCGAAGTTCCGTAGCGGAAAGTTTGATGTAGGGAGAAAAGCCACTTGTCTTCACCAGTTGCGCATGATCAAATTGACACTTAAGCGGTGCTAATCCCCTCTGCATTTTGTTGACTTGTGCAGTTAGCAGTGATAATAGGTGACTTGTATTACAAAGTAGCTTCATGCGTGGTCTTTTAAAGTACTATTCAGATTTGTTTAACGTTTCACAGCTTCCTTGTAGAGTAATTCGAGAGAGAAACTGCAGACAACGCCAGCGGCTGCCTGTGGCAACAACGTCCGCTTGAATGCGAGTCCGACTTGCAACCATGAGATGTTTCATGGTTCCGAGTGCTGGTTCATTGAGGCTGCTCTCTGCAGAGCCATGTGTGGAGCATAAGGTCCAGCTCCCCATCTCTAGATGTAATTGGGGCGTGATGAGTGGAGCTAGGGTCGTCCAACCACACCCGGCCTAACCCTACCCATAGCACTGTCCCGCCTCCGCCCATTAGATCCACAGAAGTGGAGCTGGATTAGGTCAAACTCAACACAAAACATCTACAGAGGTGGAGCTGGACTAGGTCAAGCTCAACCCAAGACGTCCAGAGAGGTGGAGCTGGACTAGGTCAAGCTCAACCCAAGACGTCCAGAGAGGTGGAGCTGGACGTTATTTGGCTAATGAGCACCAAAGTACATGCTATTTTATTTTATTATAAACAACCAAGTATTTTACATTAAACTGGGCATTTTAACAAATCAAATTCCCAATACTCTAAAATAATAAGTTTCATGAATTCCATCACCTGAAAAAAAGAATGCAGTATCAGTTAGAAGACAACTTAGTCAGACATAGAAATATGTTTTTATTTCAAAGCAGTGAGCAAGCTAAAAAAAAATACAAATAAAATCAAAGTCTTCATCATCTGACATAAAACGTTAGATAATAAGCCTTTTGTGTAGGTGTCAATATGAGCATGTATAGTCCACCAATTGAATTGAGAAAATATGAAGTGATGCAGCAATTAATAAAGACTGACTGAAAAGATCATATATAACTACTGGGATGTTTCAGTAGATGGTGGATCTTTCGAGGATTTTGTACTCATTTCTTCTTAGGGCCGGCATCAAGAGGCAGCCCAATTTCCTTTCCACGCAACTTAAGACCTAAAAGTGAAAGAGTGAATATGTTAAAAATGAGGAAAACAGTCAACAAAAGAGTTAAACAAAGTTTGTTCTCCTTTAAAAGATTGCAACTTAAATAAATGCTGTAATTACTACTACTACTTTTTTTTTTGCACCAAAATTATTGCTAGTTCTTTTGGCAAATGTTTAAAATGATCTACAGTACTGTTTAAAAGTTTGGGGTCAGTAAGTTCTTTTTTTCTTTTTTTTTTGGAGGAAGAGGAGTTTCTTGAGCTACAAATCAGCATTTTAAAATGATTTCTGAAGGATCATGTGACACTGAAGTCTGGAATAAAGGCTACTGGAAATTCAGCTTTGCCATCAAAGGAATAAATTATATCTTTAAATATAAAACAGTTGTAATATTTCACAATATTACGGCTTTTACTGTATTTTGACCACATAAATGCAGCCTTGGTGAACATTGACTTATTGTAAAAACATTTAACAAAAACTTTAATAAAATAGAGCTGCCCCCAACTAAAGATTTTTCTAATCGACTAGTCGTCGCTCATTTAAGCCAACAGTCGACTAATCGCACGTTAATGATATGAATTTAATTACTTAAATACTGGGTGATGGCATCAAAAAATGGTTCGAGTTTCAGTGCTGAGAAAGAATATTACCAGTATATGTAATATTACATGTAATAATGCTAACATTGTTCTACATTACAGAGAAATACCAAATCATAATATTTAGTTTGTTAAATAGGCCTATAAACTAAGCACTCAAGCGCACACATAAAGCTTGCTGCGGTGCACCTGCAAAAGTAATGATGACGAATGTCAGGAAAGGAGACTGTCTGAACATTTTAATAATTTATCAATAAACTAGTGTCAAAACTAGAGTCAGTGTCGGCTGCAAAGATGTTTTTGACGGTGCCGACTCGCCATCTCTACAGTATACAGAGAAATGGATGTTTTATACAGATTATTAAATAAGAGATTTTATTTTATTTTAATTGGTTCATTTAAAAGTAACTTCAATATATCTATATAGACATATTTCTCATGTCTGTGAGTTTCAGTCTATTTTTGTGATGCGCTCCAGTAGCGGAGACCGAGATGGCAGAAAGTGCATCCTGTTTGTATTCTTTATTTTACAAAAGCACAAAGTTGTACACAAATGAAAGACATTTTGCAGTTTTGAATGTTGTCTTTTATCTGTATGAACAAAAATTGTGTATTTCAAGTTATGTCCGCTGTTATTAGGAAAATAAAATGCAAGCCATAGTTAGGTTGATGAATTGATAAGGTGAACATTTGGATTTCCTCCCCGACATACTGTAATTCCCACATGGACCAGCCGTGTTTTGTTCTGTCCATCACTGACTGCGTGACTTCGCCACTTCCTCTGGGTGTTTTTTTTCTGCAACTAGCCGACTAGTTAAAATTTGGTCGACTAAACCTCTTCTCGTAGACTATTAGGGGGCAGCCATATTAAAAAAAAAAAATGGTCTTCCCATTGTCAGACACTTTAAGTTGCAGAATATATTACAAGTCACAAATACACATACAAATATGGCACCTACAGTGTCACTGGTATTAAAAAAAAAAAAAATGCATGATACAGTCTCTATACACAATTTAAACAGTGCTGCACCCACATGATAGGCCAGTATAAAGTCAAGAGTCTATGAGACCATGATGCAAGCAATTTTTTTATTTTGCTGAATTATACAAGCACAAATAAATTTCATATTTTAATGCATAAACCATAGCCAGTCAGCAAATAAGCTATTGTGTAGTAATGAATGATAAAATGACAAAATCCTACCAATGGCTCGCTCAATCTTCCCCATGACTTGGTTATTGGGGATGGCCTTTCCACATTCATACTCCGCGATGATCTGTGGCTTCTCATTAATTTTCTGCAAGAAACACAATAATAAGTTTAAGTCGCATGACACCAAATGGAAGTATTTCTTCCATATTGTGACACATCTGAGTGAAACAGCTTCTCGAACAAGAAAAAAGTGGGGTGGGACTTGGTTTTGTCCATCTTGAATTGATGGGGACATTTGATCGAGGTGGTTCGTCATTTCTGTGATCTCATGTGAGTAAACAACAGTAAACACATCATCAGAAGGGTTGTCGTTGCAAGTGGGAATCTTTAATTAAAGATTACAAGGGCACATGAATTCTTAAAAAAAAAAAAGATGTACACAGATAAATAGTTCACGGTGACTTTAAAAGATGATTCACACAGTAAGTCTGGTGATAGGCCGGACTTTAAAGGGTCATAAAATTTTTTTTTTTTTAGATGTGTACTCAAAGTTCATCTTTTTTGCATTTTTTTTTATCAATTTCATACTTTCAGTTTTAAAAGCAAAGTCACAGATTCTGACGTCAATGCATAAATCCGGCAAGATCCGGAGTGGTGATTGGCTGCCGGGGCTCCAGTAAGGGCTGGACGAACAAAGTGACGTCATCCGTTTCTGAGCATTTTCTCTGCATTTATTCATGACAAAGAGCTCAATCAATCCAATCACTGCACTGTAGTGCAGCGATATAACTGAGACAGTATAACTTCTGTCACGTCACATTTGAGACATGGGTTGGAAGTGCTGGATTCCAATGCAACACAAAAGTTTTGTCAGCATTTTCCCCCGAGATGCATTTAGAGCTGGAGTTTGACTACTAATACATGAGAAATATGACTGTAACAATATTTAATAGGTAATAACTGCACATGAGAGCTGTTTTAGCGCAGAACGAGGCAATGAGTTTAACACTCGCTACGTGGATCATAGATACAGACCAGAGGAAGCGTGTTTCAAGTTGTTAAGGACATATTTCATATACTCGAGTGCTCTAAACATGAACCAGCACAGTATGTGTGCATATTTCATCTGGTTATCTTCAAATGAAATGTGCAAATATGGACACTAAACAGCCGTACGTCTGATCATAAACACAACTGAATGACGAATTATTCTGAAAGACAGAAGACACTAATGTAGACCGGAATTCAAAAAAAGAACGGACAAAAAAATTAACTTGTCTTTATTTTTCTGTTAAACTGACTTATGACATTATGTAGTGAAAATATTATTAAATCTTTTAAATGTTCTTCCGTGTTTCTCCCTCGTTTGTTGTCATAGGATGACATTTTCAAAACACATCATAGTGCCCTCAACTCTGTGTTTTCTCATATTTTAATATTCATTTGTCTGTTTAGTGTGTGTGTTTTAGGTCTGTGTTTTTTGGTTGTTGTTGTCTCCCATCTCCCCTCACCCCAATCCCACCTTTTCTTGACACTTTTTCAGCTCTGAGGTGCGAACGACCAGGCAAAAACAAAGGGGGGGGGTTCACGACACTTTAAATGGGCAAATACTCACAGTAGCCAGATCTTTCTGGGTGAGGCCCTTATTCTGCCGGCCCAGCTGGATCACTTTCCCCACTTCAAGAGGAACTCTCTGGTGGCTCAGCTCCTCTGTCTCTCTGTCCAGCTTGGCTGTGTTCTTTGTTATAACATGCTGTTTATTTTGCCCAGCAGCCCCTTGAAAAAAATAATTATTCATTGAATCCCATTGTGAATATAAATTGATTATATACAAAAGGTTTATATGCTCTTACATTTCTTAGAAGTTTCGACTTCCTCTCCCTTCCTCTGAGCAGTTATTATAGCCTGAAACAAAAGCATTATTGGTGTTATGTAAACCGACACTACATTGTAAGTTACATCTTTGAGCATGTTGTTTTATGGCAATTATTATGGCGTCCATCACGTTTCGTACACTGGCTAATCCAACAAGAAATAACACGATAGTATTTATGTTGCGTTTGTTGTCAGACCCCGATATTTTAAGCTTTGGAAAATATT